ATCTGTTCAAAAATGTTCATCTGTCCAAAAATCTGTCCATCTGTCCAAAGCATTTTTTAAACTTGGATGACTGATCTTACTTTGAGGGCTCTCAGAATGAAAGAAAGCTGTAGCTAAAGATGAAACGAATTCATTTCTGGAAGCAGCACTGTTACTATTTTCTGTCAAGAATTTTAAAATAAAAGTTTGTTTTTACTTGCTTTTTTTACTTTAATTTGTTTCTGTTTACATGTTTCACAGTAAAAATACTTTTTACATGTAATTTAAACATGTTCCAACTTGTATTTTTCATCAACAGTGATCTTCATGTCACAAATATTACATCTCAAGAAAGTTCTATCAGTAATAACACCTTCTTCAGCTAGTTTTCTTAAACCTTCCCTCCTATTTACCACTATTGCCATTTATTAAAAGAAATATTTTACAATTAAATCAGTCAACACTTGAAACTCTTGACAAAGCATAACTTTCATTTTAGTCATATGCAAAGAGAAGCCGCTTAGAGACCATCCATAAATTATATAATGCAGTTTTAGGGAAATTTTGACCCTTTCCTCACCTGATAACACTTACTAACAAATCTTCACATATTCTTCCCCATTTTTTTACTTAACATTTCAGTACCCCCAAAGTTTTACAAGAAAAAATCAATTACTAGTCTGTGACATCTGTCAAAAATCAGCATTGCCAAATTGAGCCACAAATGTAGGTATTTAGGTTAAGATTTGGAATTGAGTTTAAAATGTAAACTAGATGAAAATCAGCCCAAAAATTTTCAATTCCAAGAAATAAGGTGCAATTCACAGTTAAAGTAGCCAACTGGGAGCAAAATTTGCAGACCTGGCAACCTTGTTTTCAAGAGAAAGTTCAACAGTGGCTGACAGTGGTTGCATATTGAACAACTTCCTTGTCAATCACTGCTTTCAATGTGGCAGCCTGCATATACTCTCTCCCAAATGACTGCTTGGATGATCAGTTGACATCTATATTTAGATTGTATGACTCATTCACTGTTAGCAACCAATTCCAACACTTCTGCAACATGTGTAACCAGTGGTGATATTCAGCGGGTTCGCACAAGTTCGGCCGAACCCGTTGTTAACATTTTCAAAGTTTTCCGAACCTTGTTAAACACATGTAACATTTCTCAATGGTTTGATTCTTTTAAAAATATTAAAATATACGTATTATACTCTGTAACACTACTAAACTAGAGCCTTCCGATGCACCATTTGAGCAAAAAAAAAATTGTTAAGGAAAAATTTTCTGTTAGCGAACCCTTTGTTAAATATTTCGAATGTCATCACTGTGTGTAACTTAATCCCATATGAAATTTTATATTTAAATTACTTTCTTTTCTTCTGTGAAACAAATTATTTAATTGTTCAATATCAAAGTTGCCAATCTGTAAAAAACAAATAGGCCAACAAGGTAAGCTAAAAGAGCTGACAAGTGAAAATTATTACATGCATAATATTCAGTCCAATATAGTATATAAATATATACACAATATATACTTACAACATGACAAAAAGACACAGAACTTCGTTAAAAGGTAGCAATGTCAAAGAAACTACATATTTTTCTAACCAATTACAGAAAAAAATTTTGATAGGAGTAATTTTTGAATTCAAAACTGTTTACAGTCGAAATTTGTCAGCCAATGAAAAGCATAATTTCAATTTCCAAATGTTTAATGGGCAGGAAAATTGGTTAGAAATCATTTAACTGTTGATACTGGAATCAAGCTTAACAAATTTAATTTGTAATTTTGTGCAAAAGTTTGAAAAAGGTGAGAATGATGCTAATTGATAGAAATTGGGAAAAATGGAGAAAAGGGTGCAAAATGTGGATTAAAAATTTGATTTAAATGTATTGGGAGATCATTTCCTGATGGTTAGTTAGGGTTTCCCCAAAAGTAAGATCTTCATTAAAAACAGTGTGGCATCACAAATTCCTAAGCTTACTTATCAGCATTAAGTAGAATGCTATGATTTGATTAGCAGTTGCTTACTGTCATTTTCTAGCAGAAATATTTATTGAAATTCAAACATTTATTAAATTAAATAATTCATAAATCAAAATTGTGATACATGATGTAAAGATAAAATTTATTTTTAATCTTTTAATACAAACAGTTAATACATGTTTTAGTGTTGACATATTAATATATTTTTAAGCAGCACAATCATTACTTGGATGAATGATTATAATAAAATAGCTTAAATAAATGATAAGAGTTAATTATATTAGATTCATATTTGAATTTTCTAAAATCATGTATTTAATGATTATTTTAATAGATATGCTACAAAATACTGCTTATTTAAGGCTACTGAAGATAATTTTATTACCAAAGAAATATTTTATCTTTCTTGCAACCATCATCAACTTTTTGGCAGCATGAAAGCTGAAAATATTTCTTGTTAATAAAATTATCTTTGCTGGCTTTAAACAAACAATATTTTATCACAGTGTGGTATTGCATGGTGCAGCAAAATTCCTAGGGCTGGCTCTAGTAGTGCTATTTTTGATTAAAAAAAAGAAAAGAACTAAATAGGCTGTATTGTGATTGGAGATTAATTATGAGTGCATCATTTTTTCAGGTCGCTTTTTCTCACAGCTTCTTGTAACCTTTGCCAAATGGACAGATGCATTTCCTAGTTGATTGCTACTTCTGACATGAATTCATATTGGACTAGATCTTTACTGTCAAAGTGATTAGCAGGATCTTTAACTTGGACTTCAACATCCTGGCTCTGTTTGGTTTGGATCCATGTATGACAGCCATTGAGTTGATTTTAGGATTGTATCTGTTACTGTGAAAGACCGAAATTAGAGAATGTTGATATTCTCCAGTGAACGTCGACATATACAAAATACGTTGGTAAAAGACCGAATATTTAGTTATATTATTATACATTCGAACAATCGTCGGTGTATGTCGACAAGCACAGATAAGCTTTGGTGGAGGTCGAAATGACACCAGAGAAGCCGATGTCGACGGAGAGGCGACAGTCTGTCGCCAAATTCTTCGCCATTTCCTTCTGCTCAAATTGGTGATACCGTAAGAATACAAGTCCCTGATGTCAACCGTAGCCGTACAGATGCCCGAAATGTGTTGGCGGTTGTAGTTGGAATAAAAGACTCAGACTTTTATAAATTAGCAAACAAAAATGGTACCCTCAAGCAGCTTTATACCCGTAATCAGTTCGTAAAGAAAAGTTACTTTCCATAGATGAGATTTCTTCTCAAGAAATATCGCTGAGAGAAGCAGCTGCAGCTAATTCGAAAAGTGGAGGAAAAGGCTATACACGCTGTCATTGCAAAAAGAAGTGTTCCATGAATAAATGCAGTTGTAAAAGCAAGGGACTCTTGTGCAATTCAAAGTGCCATAACAGTTTAAGTTGTTGCAATAAATAAAATTATATACCTTTAATCACATAATATATGTGTATGTGTAATTTTGTGTATTATTTTTCTTTTCTGATTAAGAATGTACTGTTCGTTTTAGGTTCAACAGTTTATTTACAAGTGCTGTTACTTAAGTTTTCTCCTATTTTGACATTAAAAAGTTGCATTTTTGTCTTAACATAATAAAAATATTTTTATTTATCATTCACCATCAGTGCATGCTGAATGTCAACATTTGCCGGTGTAAGTGAGAAATAATGATATTTAGTAAATATTTCGCACATACACGAAATGACTGTGATTGCTGACATTCACCGGAGAATCTCGACATTCGCCAGATATTGGTCATTCACAGTAACATATCCATAAATCCAGCTATCATTTTATCTGTCTATCTATATCTTGTCATTTTCAGTCATCAGGGAGATGTTTTGGCAGACCATTTGACATTCCTTTTTCTAGGTCAATATCTGAGGAAGAAATCTGAGTGCTCTTTTTTTTGAGCCAAGATCTTCATGGATAATTGAATGACAATCTGTATGACATGTTGATTTCTTATGCACTTTCTGTGATTGTTATCCTCCAATTTTCAGAAATTAATATTCTTAATTTTTTCAACTGTTTTGGGTTATCTCACTATTTTTTGGTGTCCAGATCTTGGATTATTTATGACTGAGGCAGTGGCCATCTTTAAACATCTTATGCCATTCAAATGCTGTTGTTCATTTTATTGAAATTTCTCTAAAAGCTTTCATTGGCTAATATTCCTAATTAAAGCAAAAAACTTCAGACATGTGCATTGTATGTGTAAATCTTCCATTGAAAATTACTGAAACAATGTTACTATACATGTTTACAGTCACTTTCGAGAAATATAGATGCTGCATATGATTGATTTTGCACCCATAATAAACTCAAGTTCATCTGCTTTTTACAACTTGCTTTGATTTCTTTTAATCAAAAAGTTCCCAAATTGGTTTAATATAAAAAAAAACAAAGAATAAAAGAAATCAAATATATATATATATATATTGTATATTAATTCAGTAGAGTCCCATACAATGGGGGGATTCGTTACACATTATAGGAAATTGCATTATTGAAACCTGCATTATTACACAATTTATGAAAGTTTAAACCTCGGCCTATAAGTTGAAAAAAACATATCTTTGATTGACAAAATTTGAGGGTGTTGCTTGCTTTATTTGCACATTGTACAGGACTCTATTCTATATTGAAAACATATTTATGAATATATACTTGTATATTAATATATTGAAAACATGTTTTACTAATTATAATAATTATCTTAGAAAAATGTCAAAAATAACTACTTCTGTATGTACATAGTACTCATTAAGCAATAAGTATATTAAATGATTATAAGAATAACAATAATGATGTTCACAGAATTTATGACTTACTGATTATGTATTACCAGTAATCAAATTTTAAATAATATCTAAGTGTAATTTATTGTATATTTATTCTAGTTTATAATGAATTTTCAGTATGATACATGACAATAATTTATTTCTAAAAATTTAAGTGTTTTCTTTGATAATTATTTAATTTGTTTGTTTCAGAGGAATCCTCTTGCATACATGAAGGAAAAGAATATCGTAATGGAGAGGAATGGAGTCCTGATGCGTGTACTCTTTGTATGTGTTTATTAGGAGAGGTTGAATGTGAAACAAAACATTGTCCAAAAATAGAATGTAAAACTAATATGTATATACCTCTTGGAGAATGTTGTCCAATTTGTGCTGGTAAAAATTTGTTTGCATTATGTACTTTTTTACTATATTTTAATGAGTGTAAATTTATTGTTTCTCTATTGCATTTCTTACAGATGAAACTAGTTTAGGACCTGAGGAAACAGTCAGGCCTGTAAGTTAAATTTTTGTATTACAGTAGAGTGTCAATTATCTGAAAGTCAATCATCCGAAAGAATTCCAGTCAGCAAATTTAAATTTTTGCAGTGCTGTGGCACTGCAATCTTTGGCTATGTCTTGGGCTACTCAAATATTTTATGTTTTTGATACTAAATTAACTTCTGAAGTATAATTTTTTATTGTTTTTATATTTTCCAATATATTTATTTTGTTTGTACAAAATAAAAAAATAATTTTTAACGATACAATAGTCTTCGTTAGGCTTAACATCGACGAAAATTCAACGCCAAGCGACAAGCAACAGAGAAAAATGTCAAGATGGGATAAATTAATATATTTTTTCGTACATAATCGGTTATCCGAAACATCGATCTTACGAACAACCCCAGTCCCCAATTGATTTGGATAATCGATGCTCTGCTGTATTTAAAATAACACAAAAATGTAGAAGTTAGATTTCAAATCATATGATTTTAATTATATTTGTTGTCATAACCATTCCATTTTCAGTTTCTTAATGACTGATATTTGTCTAGTGTTTGGCATATTGTGTTTAATTATTAGATGTAGTTATGTTTATTTTATGATAACAGATTTTTAGCATTTTAACAATTAAATTTTAGTTTCCAGATGGTGGTGGTGGATCAAGAGGTACAGTTGAACAGCCTGACATATATATCCCAGGGGAAAGGGTAACTTTTTATTTTACTATTTATAATACTCATTGTTAAAAATTATTTTAGTAAATTAAAATGCTGTTTTCATTAATAGACACACATAATAAATTGTTGAAAAACTTTGTAAACAGAATTTTTGTGAAATAGTGATTTCTCTTAGAAACAATCCATGCATTCTTTTATTCAGCAGTGCGCTGAGCAGTTGCTGCCGGAAATGATATTTTTGCTGCTGATGGTTTAAAACACTTTTGCTGGAGAAAGAGCTATCTCAAAATGGCTGATATAAACAATTATTTTCTTTCTGCTATATTTATGCAAATATTAGAAGAAAAGCCATTAAGTTTGATGTTATTTACACGAAAACAATTGAATTTATGATTTATTTATGGGATTGGCAATGAGTGATTCCCAATAACGAAGAAAGCTTGCAAAAATTATTGGTTACGTTCACAATATCGTACCGCAGTATTCCAATGAAATCTTTAAAAGCCGTTTTCGTATGTCACAATTAAAAATCTGCTAATTTAAAACAGCAAAAAACTGATTATTATTTGGTAGTGGAAAAAGATACTTTTTCATGGAGGCGTCCATCTTGTAAGCACTATTTTTAGCATGGTCGAGAGGTGCTGCTAGTGTGCTGACAGTAGGCTTAATAATTGAACACATGCACTAAAAGTGCTGCAAGCGCACTGAATAAAAGAATGCGCAAAATGTCTTTGAAAACAGACACATTCCAAAATTTCTATTTTGTATGAATGTACAAAGGAAATTCTTTTTTTCTGCCTTTAAGAATTTCAAATAAATTTGAATTTTATTATGTTCTAAAATCTGACCGATATTTTTCCTTTAAATTTTTGGATATAAGCAGATCATTTTTGAATTGTGATTTATGAGTAATTACACATATATCCTGCAAAAATTTATTGATAAAAAAATTAATCATTTTGTTTAAAGATGACTATCTTTAGATTTTAAAAAGTGAATGGACCTCAATACTTTTTTGAATATAATTAAAAATTGAGCAATAGTCATATAATTAAAAATAAAATAATACATTGATGATATATTTTTATGCAAATAAAATAGGAAGATTAATAAAAATAATTAATAAAAAATAAAAACATAACATATATACAGGCAAGTTGTGATTAGCATGAACCAAAATTTAATTTATATATTTTATTGTTTTTATATAACACACATTTATATATACCAGAGAATCAAATGAAAAAAGGAGTCATGAGAAGTAGTGAGAAAAGTTTTGTGACCCTGAAGGTCAGGCTTGGTGATGCTATGAGTTAGTCTTGCTTTTTAATGTCCTGCTATATGTGATAATACAGCAAGTCTCACTTAATGTCACTGATAAGTTCATGGTAATTGTGACATTAAGTGAAACAACTTATAACAAAACAAATTTTACTATAGGCTAAATGATATAAACAAGAGTTAATTTCTTTTTGGATTGTGTTTGTATAACCTCCAACTAATATTAATCCTCACTTCATTGAATCAGTTTCACTGTTTATAAAGAAAATTCATCCACAGTAGTAAGATACATTTGTAATTATTTACAGTAATTGTAAATAATTACAAATGTATTTGTATCTTACTCCAGACTTGCTGTACTTGAACATTTATTTTCTATGGACTCAAGAAATAATATTTGAAACTCTAAATAAATAAACAAAAAGTTTATGGACAACCCTTTACTTTTTTAATGCCAAAATTTGATTCTTTTTATAGCTGTATGAACAGAACTGTAAGATAATCTAATCTCTAGAGGTGAAAGTCTTGAAGATCATGATATCTGGATATACTCAGAAAGCAAGTCTTCATAACAATTGCTTTCTGAGTGCATCCAGATAGCATGATGACACTCAGACCCCAAGGACTATCACTAATTTCAAAAGTTTGTAAACATTAACAATTATATGCTTAGTCAACAGGATATTTTTTTATGAACCATTACTTTAATTTTCAATAACTTTTCTTTTCTATGTAAAACTATGAAAATTTTCAGTTCTATAGTGTAAACATTTCTAGTTATTACAACACTTAATTTAAATAACAAATAGTAAGTCAACACTGCACATGAGAGTCAGTGATGCATGATAATCGTTTAGACACCATCGATTGATGACATCTTTAGGTGGCTGGAAGGCCAAAGTAGCTAAAGCATCAATCTGTTGCTCTGGGACCTTGGAATGAATCTGAGTAGTAATCCTAGGAATTTTTATGGCTGAACTCTTTGGATATGGTGGGTCCTGTCCCTCACCACCTAGCTGCCTCCATTGCAGGCCTAACCAAATCCATAATGAGTATGAATAAAAAAGGCCCTCTTGGTGTTCACGTGGCAGAAAGAGTCAAAAATGAAAAAAAATAAAAAAATACTGATGACATCATAAAATCACTCTTTCTACTTTGATTTCCCTTGTCATTTGATCATTTGGTGTATATGTATGTATATATAAATAATTATTTAAAATTTAATAAAATTTATTGAAAAAACCAATCACTCTAAATTCAACTCTAAATTAAAAATTACCATATTCCATTTAGAAAACTGGACTTCTGGTCTGGATAGCTCATTTCTGTGCATTACCAAAAGTTAAAAATATTACCATTTGTAGAACATATTACGTTTACTTATCACAGTTTTTGGGAGTTTTGATGAAACTCACTTCCCTTCATTTCAAAAGGGGTGTATAGGCAGCCTGTGACATACTATATAATTTAAAATTAAAAATGTTAAATAATCTGTATAACTGTATAGTATATATATAAAACAAAGTTTTATATTTGTGTATATATCCATAAATACATACATAGAAAGTTATTTTCTAAAAGTTTTATATTATATTTAAATGTTTGTATAATTTGAATTATATAAGAATATATAGCTTAATAATAATAATAAAATTTATTATTATAAAATTATTTTACAGCGATTAACTTTTAATTTTGTTTTATAAAGTTATTTTTATTCCATTGACATAATTATTTTTTAAGGGTTATCCTGGTGAAAGTGGTATACCTGGGAGACCAGGAGAACGAGTAAGTTTTATGCATTTGCTTTAACTATTTAGTTATAGAAGTTATTGTAAGAATATTTATTCTTAAGGTACTATTGTTTCATGTAAAAAAATGAATAAAAATTACAATCATATGTAGAATGATCATAATTAAGTAGTGGATATTCAGAGCATTCTATAGAACGAACTATTGAGCAAGTAGTTTTGATTTTCAGGAAAAAATGTTACTTCAGAATTTAGCCACTAGGATGAAATTTGGCACTACTATTTCCTTATTGTGTACAAGGTCTATATAAGAAGGTCAAGACGCATGTGACCTACTTCTTGAGCCGCCATTTTGGGATTTTCGAGCCGCATGTTTTAAGCAAACTTGCACGAGCAGTCAGTTTTATACGACATGATAAACTAAATTTGCATAAAACTGATGCAATTACGTATATAGGTACTTTGTAAAGTGATGTAATAACATCAGAAAAAAAAAATTAAAGTATAATAAAGAATATAATAATATAATATAACAAATTTATAATAATTTTTTTAAAGCATGATTGGCTATAAAATTAAGATGAAATTCAATAGTATTATTAATAAATGTTGTCAATGTAATGCTCATTTTATAATAAGTAATAGATGTGTAGATATATTTTTAATTTATAAATAGCTTTCAAAAAATTCCAAAAATAAAATTTTAAATTAAATTATTTGACATTAAACTGACAAATAATACTTGAATAGAATACAATATATTCAAACAAAATATGAATATTTGTTGCCATAGCAAAATAATGCTAAAATTTTCTTTTTTACAATTAAATAGTCAATTTTACTTTAATTAAATAAAATCTGTTTTTAAATGTTCAGGATAAAAGATTTGAATGATCAGTGGAAAATAATTATTGAAACGCGAACGAAAAAATTAAATATAAATAAAATCAATTAAATATTATGGAATCTCTTGATTATAAGAATTGGATATATTTAGATTTCCATCTAGTCTTTTAAAATAAAAATTCTGACAATAAAATTAATGTAAATTTTATTTAAATTGAATTAAGTATAAATTACTGTTAAACTAAATTTTTTGCAATCTTCACACATATAAACTCTTTGAACTGTATCATGAACTATCTGTTGATGTCTACGCTACATTTTGCTTTCCTCTGCTTATTTTCAGGAAATCTAAACAATCGAACGTCTGTAGATTTACTTTTACAATTTGGTGCCACACAATAACCCATTGTTTAAAGGTTTGAGTACTTATATAGTAATAATAGTTGACTCACGCAGGACCTACGTGTGGAGTGTAGTCTATCGATGAGTCCCAAAATGTCCGCTGCTGCGTAGAATCACGGGAGCGTGTCCTGACCTTCTTATATAGACCTTGATTGTATATATTACATATTTGTTTAGTAAATACAGGAAATCTGCAAGAGACAAGAAAGAATCACCCCTTGATAACAAACACTTTAATATCAACAAAAGCAAATAAACAACAATAATGAACATGCAATGTGAAAAAAATAGTAGAAATATATATAATATAATCAAAATGAGGACATTGAAAAGCAAAAATAAAAATATATTATAAATTCAACAGATCAAAATAGTAGAATTGTAGAATTTGTAGAATTGAACAAGATTCAAATGTGAAATACAGATTACAATAGAATAGAACATAACATTTCTTTAATTTGAATGTTATGTTCAATGCTATTGGTAATTTGGAAAAGAACATTTTCAGATTATGAAAATAAACAAAATGCCCAGCAAGTATTTAAAAAATGAATCTTGAGAACTATTTTTCAATACTTTTTGGCTGACATAGCCATAACTTACTACTATTGATAACTGCACTATTAATAACTTCAGTAGGGCTATCTTTATGGTGTAGTAAAAGTTAAAAAATAGCATTTTTGGCTAACTTTGATTAGCCATTTTCAGATTCTAAATTCAAGTGTTTTAGATTTTGAAACATAAATAGAATTTGAAGTTTTTAAAGTTTATTTATTCTTTTCATGAAAATAATGTATTTGTTTTTGATGAAAGTATTTGCAAATGTAATTGTTTTAAATTAATATATGTATTATACCAAAAGGCTGTTATATTTCATATATTTTTAATTGTTTTAATTGTATGAATTAAAATTTTTTTTTATTTAATTATGTCAAATTTATAAATGTATATTAATTAAAAATGTTTTCATAGTTTTTGCTTCATAATGCCTTTAATGATTAAAAAATATGAATATATGTTAAAAATTTATCTTTGTATAAATTTGTATTGAAATTATTTCAAATGTTAAAATGTTTATTTCAAATGTTAAAATGTATATTTATGAAATTTTATCATTTTAATCTTAAGAAAAAATAATTATTTTAGATATGCTATTTTTATTTATTATTATAGTTTATTTTTAAAGAAAAGAGAATGAATTTTAAAAAATTAGTTATAAAAAAGATGATTTATTTATTTATTTTTGCTATAGGGTAGTCCAGGAGTACCTGGATCGCATGGTGTACCAGGACCACCAGGGCCACCAGGACCACCAGGATCAGGACCAGATGTAAGAAGGAATTGCTTGAAATAAATACTATTATTATTTTTAATGTTTACTAAAAGGTATTTTAGAATAATTGCACTATAAATTTNTTTGGCTGACATAGCCATAACTTACTACTATTGATAACTGCACTATTAATAACTTCAGTAGGGCTATCTTTATGGTGTAGTAAAAGTTAAAAAATAGCATTTTTGGCTAACTTTGATTAGCCATTTTCAGATTCTAAATTCAAGTGTTTTAGATTTTGAAACATAAATAGAATTTGAAGTTTTTAAAGTTTATTTATTCTTTTCATGAAAATAATGTATTTGTTTTTGATGAAAGTATTTGCAAATGTAATTGTTTTAAATTAATATATGTATTATACCAAAAGGCTGTTATATTTCATATATTTTTAATTGTTTTAATTGTATAAATTAAAATTTTTTTTTATTTAATTATGTCAAATTTATAAATGTATATTAATTAAAAATGTTTTCATAGTTTTTGCTTCATAATGCCTTTAATGATTAAAAAATATGAATATATGTTAAAAATTTATCTTTGTATAAATTTGTATTGAAATTATTTCAAATGTTAAAATGTTTATTTCAAATGTTAAAATGTATATTTATGAAATTTTATCATTTTAATCTTAAGAAAAAATAATTATTTTAGATATGCTATTTTTATTTATTATTATAGTTTATTTTTAAAGAAAAGAGAATGAATTTTAAAAAATTAGTTATAAAAAAGATGATTTATTTATTTATTTTTGCTATAGGGTAGTCCAGGAGTACCTGGATCGCATGGTGTACCAGGACCACCAGGGCCACCAGGACCACCAGGATCAGGACCAGATGTAAGAAGGAATTGCTTGAAATAAATACTATTATTATTTTTAATGTTTACTAAAAGGTATTTTAGAATAATTGCACTATAAATTTGGAATTATCACTAAGGCAATAGTAAATTTAGGAAAAAAAAACTGAAAAATAATTGTTAATTATTTCAAATAAAAATTAAATGAAAAATTAAGATTCCAAATACAAGAGCTGACCATTTAATTTGTGGAATCATTTCCATATTTTTCCCATGCAAATTTCTGGAAAAATATATCAGTTGTATTCTATCTGAATTTTTGTGACCTGCGTCCATAGATGTTCAACTCCTGTCAGTTTTTGAAAATCTTTTATTTATAGCCTTTCAGTAATGATCATTTTGAAGGAAGAACTGAGACAAATGAAACAAGAACAATGTTGAGAAATATGGCTCATTTCATTTGTGTTTGAGGCACAAAATATGTATTTATATATTTTGCATCCTGAGGAATAACTCTGAAGAAGGAAGCATACACAGATTCTTAAAGTAAAACTTGATGTGCCATTGTAAAAAATATCCAGAACTTGCTAATATGATATGTTTTCTCCATCATAAAAATGCTAAATTTTGCTAAATATTACACTACTTATATTGCAGAGCCCAGATTACAATTATAGCTGAAGTTCTGCTATATTTCCCCATGTTCATATCCCCTGTGTTATTTCTTTCTGTTTTTGTGTTTGAAAAACCTGAAAGGCAAATACTTTTTATTCTGATTAGAAGGAATGTAAAGCCACAATAACAACTTTTTGGCATCTGTCCAAAAATAGATTTCAAAAGCATATGTGCAAGTATGGAAATGACAGGTATAAGCTATACAAGTTGAGCAAGAAAAATCCAGGAAGATATAGATGATAAAAGGAAAAAAATCTAGCATTATTTCACAAATTAAGTGATCAGCCCTTGTATATTCATAACTACTAGTTAATGTGTTCAGTAGTAAAAAAGTTTACAGAAATAATTTTTATTTGGAAATCTCTCAATGTGAATAAACTTCTTACAATGTGAAATTTTATCAATAAAATTTCTTAAATTTAATATTATTTGTAAATATCAATTAAGATATTAAACAAGAAAAATTAAAATTTTTGAATTTAAACTTTAATAAAGGTTTGAGTACTTATATAGTAATAATAGTTGACTCACGCAGGACCTACGTGTGGAGTGTAGTCTATCGATGAGTCCCAAAATGTCCGCTGCTGCGTAGAATCACGGGAGCGTGTCCTGACCTTCTTATATAGACCTTGTTCGTATNCCTAAACAAGCACTACCAAAAATAGATACAACATATTTATGCATTATGTATCTATGTGCTTGTATTTTAATTTCCTCTACAGAATTTTTTAATTATAATTATTAATTTATATATAAATTATTTGCTCAAGTATATATGAAAATTATTTATAATTTTTTTTTTCTTTTTAGTTATCAGCTTGGTGGACTCAATTAGCTGCTACCGGTGGAGGAGGAGGAGGTGATAAAGGACCAGCTTTTCCTGCTGATATGTTTCAATTTCTTCAGGCTCATGTGGTAATTTGATTTCTGTATTTGTATTTATTGCTATATTTTTGAAGACACTTTTAATTAATAATTTTGTAAACATTTTTAAGGGTCCTGTAGGTCCTCGAGGTTCAACAGGTCCACCTGGTCCACCAGTAAGTTTTAAATTATATTATATGATAAAAAATATGAAATTTTTATGCATTAAGGTTTAAAAATTAAAATATTATTAAAAAGAATGGCAATTAGCCAGATACCAAAAGGTATATCATATTTACTTGAATCTACGATGCACTCTAATTCTTACTTGCTCACCCACAAATTTTTGTTTTAATAGTGTGAGGGGCTAACCGGGGATATGGCGAAGTTATTACTCGTTGTATCACTTAATCAGCAACTATTCCTTGAGAATAGCCTTCTGATTGTCAAAAAGAATGGCTTTTCCTCATTCAAGGAAAATCGAGTGTGAAGGGGACTTACAGATTGAACGTTAAACTTAAACTGGGACTAAAGGATTTCACAATCCCTCGTTCCCTCGTCAGGATTCCCAATACCAGTTAATCAAATTTAGAAGATGCGGATTAACATGCGTACGACAATGATAACAAGGTTTTGATTCAGACACTCGAGAGACATTTCTTAAACAATAAAATAAACGAAATTTAATAAAACAAAAATTAACAAATTTACACAAAAATGGAATAATTAAAATTAAGTGATTTGAGAGAGAGATCTCACAATGTTTATAATCATACTGCCTCTAGATGATTTCTCTTTATCTTCACCTTTTAGTTTCTTTACACTTCAGTTCATGGAGCGGTCATGAGAAGCACATAATTATATATTTTCTTCTAATATTACTAACTAAATAACATTATTTGAAATCGGCTGGTTACGACTATGGGCGTTGGCCTTAGTGAACCTATATGGAATACGTCTGGCTTCGATGAGATCCTACAGTGTACTCCCCAAATCGTGCAAAATCATTTCTCTTTCTCCTGATTTTCATCCAATCAACACTTTGGATTCTTTCACGTGAGTAGAGGAAAAGGGGATTTATCGTGGGGTCGACAATTCCCAGGGTGCTGAGATTTTTGGTAGATAAGGGTAAAACGGAAGGATGTTCAACTTCCATTAAAGGAAGTGACTTTTTAGCTGTTTCCCACGTTTTGAAAATGATATTTTCACATGAAAAATTAAAGAATATTTTCATTTAAAATTTTACATTATAATTTAATTATTTATTAATTAGACACAGGGTCTATTCAGATCTCACAATAGACAACTTGAGACAAATTTATGACAACAGAATCAGTATTTATTGCAAGCAAAGTAAGTTATACAGAGTGATTGAAAAGTCATGTATATGTGTTAAGAATCAATTTTATTTCGTGATGTTGATGTATGAAAATACAGAAGATACTAAAACAAAGTTTATAATCTGATCTTTAAGAAAAGCAAAATCAAATTATGTTTATTACAATATATGTTTATATACAGTGGTAGCTCTAGGTTTTTCAGGGCTAGGGCTTATTGAAGTCCAATGGGGCCCCATTTTTTGTTAGATTAAGAATTTTTAAATTGGGGTTTAAAATTGCAACTTGGTGGCCTGACCAATTATGTTACATTGATTACAATAAAACAAATAACACTAAATTATCCTTATTATTATATTATTAATATTAACTAATTTTTACTATAAGTGCTCATTGTTAATGAAAAAGTATGATACAGTAGAGCGTCGATTATCCGAATGCTGATCAACCGAAATGTCGGTTAACCAAAAGCGTTCCAGTTGGACTGTGTCATGCTGAATCGAACATTTTTGATACTAGATTAATTTCTAAAGTATAAATTTTTTTGTTTTTATATTTTTTAATATATTTATTTTGTTTGTACAAAATAAAGAAATAATTTTTAATGATACAATAGCCATGATTATTATTATAAAAATTTTCGTTAGGCTTAACATTGATGAAAATATAAAAATAGATTCACAATAAACCTTTGAGTAACCAGTAAAATATTTATTTGAAAAAACAAATGTTTTTGACCGTATTCTTTGGCTTTCTTCAGGTTAAACGTTCCGAGATTCTAAAAGCCGTTGTGCTTAAAGATTTAAAAGTTTTTGAACATACCCAACTCATTATGCACATGCATATCAAGCATTGCATAAACAAAATATATTTACTATTTTACATACACATGAAATAGTGGAAAACACATTAAATAGAGTTGTGGGGCCTTCTCCTTCAAAAACAAACTTTCAAGCTGTAGAAATATTAATTGCATCCTTATAGTTAATGTAGTTATTGCATAACCCCACTTTTGTTCATATGTGTTCCCTTCTGTGTGAAAGTTTAATTAAACTTTCACACAGAAGGGAACACATACGAACGCTAGAAACTCTGGAAATATATAAAGCGGGGTTACGCAATAACTGCATCAACTATAAGGATGCGATTAATATTTCTACAGCTTGGAAGTTTGTTTTTGAAGGAGAAGGCCCCCACAACTCTATTTAATGTTTTCCACCATTTCATGCGTATGTAAAATAGTAAATATATTTTGTTTATGCAATGCTTGATACGCATGTGCATAATGAGTTGTGTATGTTCAAAAACTTTTAAATCTTTAAGCACAACGGCTTTTAGAATCTCGGAACGTTTAACCTGAAGAAAGCCAAAGAATACGGTCGAAAACATTTGTTTTTTCAAATAAATATTTTACTGGTTACTCAAAGGTTTATTGTGAATCTATTTTTATATATATTGTACCAGTACCTGGTGAAGAGGAACCTTTACACAAGATCAATGAAAATTCAACATGAAGTGACATGCAACAGAGAAAAATTTAAACATGGAAAATATTAATATACTATTATTGGGATATACTAATATACTATATTAATAATGTATTTTTTCGTACATAATCGATTATCTGAAAAATTGATTTTCCAAAAAATCCCAGTCCCCAATTGATTTGGATAATTGACACTCTACTGTAATTCAATTTTTGTGGTCTCTTGACACTTGGGGGCTTAGGGCTTAAGCCCTATTAGTCCCTATGTAGATCTGCCCCTGTTTATATATATCAAAATTAATTATTTAAACTGATGGAGTCAGATTATTTTATCAAATTCTTATGTAATTGTATTGTAGAAAAATACATAAAAAATCAATTTTTCTTTCTGTTCTACTTACAAAGGGCAGATAACTTTAAAACTCTAAAACATTATGTAAGTAATGAAATAAAGGTTAAAAGTAAAAAAAGTTAAAGGAAAACCCAAGTGCAGAGAAAACACTTTATTACGTTGATAAATTCCATAAATGCATTTCACCAGACAGGCCTCTTCAGTAGGGCTATCAGTAGGTACAGTTTAAAACACCAACAATATTCATCTATATATCTAACAAAAGTTTCCCAGCATGCAGCTGTCAATATACCAATATTTAAACTAATCGTATTATTTTGCATAATTATGGCAAAATGTTCTTTAACTTTTCTTTTTACATTATTTTTTCTTTATAAACAATTTTTACAATATCAATATTAATTTCACAGTTATTAATACTACAATGATGAAAAATAGGAGAATGATTAATTTTTAATGTTACAGATGCTAAATGTTCTGATAATCTGATCTTCAGTTTTCTCTTCATTTCACCAATATAGAAACTTGGAATATTACATGAGTATTCAAGTCTGTAGACCACACATTCTTTTAATGGGTCCTTTTTTAATACTTCTTATAATCATCAGATTGGATAATTTATTATTTTGAGTTAGAGCCAGTTTAATTTGATTTTGATTAAGAATTTTATTATATTTTTCATACATGCTTTTTACATAAGGAAATGATACATACTGTTTTTTTTCTTGTTTTTCTTTCACATTATATCTGTTCAGTATGAATTGGTTATACCAATTATTTAATATTTTTGTTGCATACCAATTTAAAATATTCTTCTTGTGTATTGCTTTTATCTCCTGTTCTCTTATATCTGTTTTTGTTGTTCTGGAAAATATCTTTCTTATTTCCATTTAATATATATTACATTTTTGATTTCTAGGGCAATATGATTTGAAACATGTTTATATGTTTGAAATGCTTTCCTCATACACGAGTGCAGCTCTTTTTATCATGTTTGATGTTATCTTGTGAAGCAACTGAAAACTGATGCTGGCATTCACCATTATAATGTTTCTCTTTAGTTCATCTGTTGTGTATGGATTATTTTTATGTTTGGCTCTCTTGAGATACCCCAGAGGAAAAATCTCGGAGTGACAAATCTGGTGATTGAGGGGTCTACAATCTTTTAGAAATAAGATGGTCACCAAAGAATTCTCACAACTGCAGTGTTTCATTTGATATGTGACATGTGGCACCATCTTGCTGCAACCAGAACTCATGCTCATCAATCTCTAGCAGCAGAATAAACTGTGTGATAGTCTTGGTACAGTATGTTAATCACTGTCTTTTCTAAAAAAAAATAGGTCCCACCATTTGATTATGTGATACAGCACACTGCAATTTTTTGAGCATCAAAGATCTTTTATGCAGAATATATGGATTATCATATGACCAAATCCTATTATTTTGACTATTCACATAGCCACTAAGGTGGAGCCATGCTTCACCCCAGTGGCTATGTGAATAGTCAAAACAATGCTTCAGTGTAAAAAACTATATCAAGCTGCTCAATTCCATGTTCTTCAACAAATGACTGAAGCCGGCTACAGTAGGCTATACACTTTTCTTTATCTAGTTTCTTTTGATCCTGGACACAGCAAACATTGTATGCCAAAGACATAACTTCTTTGTAGCTTTCTGAGTACTTCTGTATGATATCCCTGATTACACTTCTAGTTTTCTGAGGCTTTTTGAAGGAGAGCTCTTCAATGTACTATTCACATCAGCCAGTTTAGCATCTGTCAAAACAGACAGTCTACTGGACCTCTTCATGACTGCAACCGATCCAAATTCCCAAAAACTATTAATTAATCTGGTTGTTGTTGAATTATTAGGGATTGCAAAATCTGGATATTTTGGATGAAACTTGTCTGTAACATGTGCATAAGAGCAACTGGTGAAATAATGCTCAACAATGAAAATCTATTGTTCTGGGAAAAAATCATTTTATTTTATTAAGCTATATCGCAGTCAATTTTATGACTTTTACATGTAAGTCAGAGTTTCTATTAATAAATAGTTCTTTAAATTCAAATTGGACAAATTTAATAATAAGTTTCTACAAGGTATTAATAGTTAGCAATCACTATAGTGTCATCTTGTATCAAGAAACGTAATAAAGAGAACTTGACACAAACTAATATTTTGATGTGCATAACTTTTCAATCACCCATTATATGACTGTATTTCATGATATTGAAATCAGAAACCTCTTCATTTACCAGAAGAGCTTAACATTTACCACGTTAAGCTCTTCTGATCTACACTTGTTTTAACATCTTGATCAATGTTGTTTTAGTCATCTTCCTGAGTATTAGTTTTAGTTTTTGGTTTTATTAAACTAAAACTATGCTAATCAACACTAGATTTAGTGTTTACATCTTCCCATATACATAGTGCCATTTAAAGCATCAAAAATGCAACATTTCTTGAAAGAATGCTGCACATTTTTTCTACAATTTTCATTCAAATGCTTATGATGTAATAGGCTAACGAGATTGAGCTAAGTTTACCCTTTAAATATTTTCTGTTACTACTATTTGTCTAATAAAATCATGAAAATGACATAGTGGAATTAATGACAGAGAAATAAGACACATGGCACTAGAGGTTACTGAATATGATGTATTACATTGAATCTAAGATGCACCTTATTTTCAGAGATACTGAAACCTGAAAAAAGTGCATCATACATTTGAGTTAATATGGCATATAATACAGAATCATTTATAACACAAGCTATACAGGCAAATTCTGTATCATATGATACTGGAATTTATATAATTTATTTTATTTTACTTAGTGATCTGGAAATAAATGAAAGAAGTAAAGTAATAGAAGTTTGAAATTTTTTTTCTTTGCATTTAAAAAATGAAATAAAATTTTAACATAATAATATATAATCAGAACCTATTCATTTGAACATATTAAACTGTCACAACTAACAAATATTGTTAATATTTTTAGGGACCACAAGGTTTTCAAGGAATTAGAGGAGATAGTGGAGAATCTGGACCACCAGTAAGAATAAATTTTAATTAAATAACATCTTTTAATCTAATTAAGTATCATTTGTATAAAATATTTGTGTGTTTAAGTGTTATACTCAAGAAAATATTTTCTATAATTATTAGATATTCTCTATAATTGATGTTTTTGTACTTAATTGTTTTAAAAAATAAGTATAAAATATTTTTAAAAATAATTATAATATAGTAAGATATTTATCTATTTGAATACAAATTGTATTAGAAACAACAATTGATTAAATAAAATCAGTTTAAATCTATTTATGGTTAGTTTACTAAAATCTATTTTTTAATTGCTTTTTAAAAATATTTATTTATATACAAGATATTGTATATAGATGTTCATTTGTTCATTTATAAAAGAAATTTACTAAACTGATTAGCTTTTTACTGAATATAATAAAAAATAATATTTTATTGAAGATTTTATAAGTTATTGAAATTATTTAGTATAAGCACTTATTCAAAGTAAAAACCCTTGCTGTTGTTATAACAAATTTATTTCAAAAATTTCCAGCCATATTAAAATTTGTATAAATTCTATAAAAATATCTGTATTAATCTATTATCTTTAATAGTTTCTATGTTAATAAAATCTTTTAGGGAAAACCAGGCATGCCTGGAGAAAGAGGACCACCTGGTTTACCAGGAAAAGATGTGAGTAATTTTATTAAATCAGTTTTACTGTGATAAAAGGAAATTATCTAAAAATTTAATTTACATTTATTTTAAAGGGAGAACCAGGAGATGATGGTCGACCTGGCCCTCCTGGCCCACCTGGACCTCCAGTAAGTTTGAATTAATATAATGAAGTTAAATTAATGCCAATTGTTTTTAAATAAAGTAGTTATTACTATGTATACAGAGTTTAAATGAATTACATATAAATAAAGAACTTAAATTACATAGAAAACTTGAAGACTAGACTGCAAATGAAAAAATTACATAATTAGCAACTAGAACTAGTGTATTTGCATATGCATTTTTTGCTGTGGCTTAATAAGTGAGTGAATCATAATACATATTTATTTTCTGCTTTCACTATGAGTTAGAACCTTGCAAGATTTTTTCATGTCTACTTGAATTTTAATAAAGTACAAAAAAATTTCAAAATTGTATCATATATGCAGTATTTGAATTTACTAAATGGATTTTACAAGAAGCAAAATGAATCCTATATATTTTATTTCAAGTAAATGAAATTTATATGAATTGGAAGGAAGCCAAAATATTGTTGGTAAATAGAAAGACAATATTCAAATATAAGTGACAGAAAACTTGCAACTAGAAATGTGGACTTAATTCCTAAACTGTTTAATAAAATTATTAAAATGGTATGGATATAACAATGAGTAAAAGTTTTTTCTTCCAACAGTGAGACCGAGATTACAACAAATTGTTATAATCTTGGTTTCTGTTTATTGTAGATAATTAAGAAAGATGTGATAAAGATCACTAGTCTCATTATTAGAAGAAAAAAGTTTTATTCATAGATCATAATAAACATCAAAGTAACAGTGTATTTTTCAGACTCTTTTAAGTGATTAATAGGTGGTTTAAGAAATAGATTACCAAATTATTGACATTTTGAATTTAAAATCTCTTTCATTGAAAGAAAATATAAAATATTAAAATTCAGTAAAGTGTACTGACAACCTATATAATTCAGTTGGCTATATTGGAAATAGTAAATTCTAAATTGAAATAGGATAATTTTGAATCAATTATTTATGTAAAAAATATAATTTATATTAAAACAAGAGTTTTGTTTTACTTTATTTAGGGTGCTAGAGGAACACCAGGAATTCCAGGTCTTCCAGGAGCAAAGGGACATCGAGTAAGTTATTTATTATTAAAATCATAAAATAATTAAAAAATAAAAAGCTTTAATTACCATTGATTATTTAATTTGTAGGGTTTTCCTGGAGTTGATGGAGCCAAAGGTGAACAAGGAGTTGCAGGTGAAAAGGTATAAGATTAGCTTATTAATACAAATGAAATNCAGACTTTGATTGACAACTTATACTGTATAATCACTTAACAAATATACTGTATAATCTTTAATGATAGCATCCTGATATTCTAATATTTAAATAAATTTATAACTATGTATAGACATTATTCTCTACTGTTACATAAGAAAATAAGCATGAGAAATTAAACTATTGAAAAGTAAAAATTAAAAACTGTGAAAAAAGTAAATAAATTATTGTTAATATAAATATATTCATTAAACAGCTTTTTCAAAGTTTACATTTCTCATTAATCCTCTAGCTTTTGGATTCATCCTCAGACACACTATTCTAATAGTAAATATAAAAAAAATTATACAATCATCAAACATCATATTTTCAAAAAGTATCAGTTTACATTAGAAAATACTCAAAAATAACATGTCTGTTAAATACAAAAATGTTTAAACACATCCTCCTAATACAAATTGTTCAAAAAAGATATATTTAAACTTTGTGTATAACAGACATGCTATTTTTTTGAGTGTTTTCTGATGTAAACTGATACTTTTTGAGAATATGATGTTTGATGACTGTATAGTTTTTTCTATATTTACTGTTAGAATAATGTCACTGATGATGAGTTAAAAGCTAGAGGAGTAATGTGAAAAATAAACTTCATAAAGCAGTTTAATGAATACGTGAATAAATGAAGTTAATATTGGAGTTGTTTTGTGTGTTTAGTTATATAAATATTAGTTGAATTTAATGTTACAAAATATTGTTTAATAAATTCATTAGTTGCATTTAATTTGAGCAATGAACTATTTCAATACAATAGCATTTTTCTAAAATACTAAATTAATTTTTTTTATAATAAATTCATTATTTGCATTTAATTTGAGCAATGAACTATTTCAATACAATAGCATTTTTCTAAAATACTAAATTAATTTTTTTTACTTCTACCATTAAAAATAACTGGAATACTACTCTTTCCATATACTCTGTTGAAGAATATAATTTTTCTCAAATTATAATTATATTGAATTTTACTACATCTGTCATATAAGTAGTATATTCACTATACTTTTGCTATCCCATGCTTATATATTGCTATCATAATAGCAATTATTAAAAAAAACTGAACACTAATAACTGCTTGCTAAACTACTGAGAAAGATTAATAAACTAAACATACAATTTTTCATAATGCCATATAATAGTCCCATTGTAAATCATTCAGCAATATTATCTTTTGAAGAACTTAAGTATCTCATTCTGAAAATATATATTAAATGCATAAATTAGTGTTTTACATTCATATTTTGATATTCAATACATTAGATATAAAATAATCACATTTTACTACAGTTGCTAAATTTAAATTGAATAAAGAGGAGGGGGAAAAATTAAACTTCATTGTTTTTACATTAATATTAATGTTGAAATAGAAAAATATTTTGAAAACTAATCTGTTTTATATACATCAACTCCAGTTTAAATTACAAAATTGTGTTGTTTTCNTGAACGTAACATTTATCTTGTATAAAACATGAATACTGTATCTTTGTTACAAAATTATACTTTATATTTAATAATTTCTATCAGATAGAAATTATTGAATATAAAGTGTAATTTTTATGAATAATGTATTTAAAATATATAATATTTTAAATTAAATTTTAAATCAATTAAAATATATAATATTTTAAATAAAAAACAATAAGCAAGAATATCTAGTAAACATATTTTTCTTTGTTTAAGAAGTGTAAAAAGCTTTCTAATAGTTTTTTGCTGAGTGTTAATAACATTACTCTTCTAGCCCATTATTTTAATTATGGCTTGGAATAAAGAATTTAAAAGTATTTGTATAAATTTATTTTAATTTTCTATGTTCTGAAACATCCTAAATTATTGTTATAATTATTATTTAATATTATGACTTAGATAAAGTTGTATAAAAAATGCATATTTTATTATGAATTTTTATGTTTTTTTAAATATTGCAAATGTAAAGAAGATACTCTAAAATAATTTAAAACATTTCAAATGAAAATATGATTATATTGTTAAATTAGATAATAAGCAACAAAAGTATTATTTATTTTAGTAAATTTACTATAATAATTATAATATGTATACAAAGAGAGATCAATAATTAAGTTTCAATGATCTCACATATCTACATTAAATGATTTGTAAGAATGCACACTATATTCCCATATTGACATCTATCGTCTGTATGGTGGCACTGGTATAGTCCAGCCATGTACGTACAACAGATGTCTTTTGAAAGTGTTTGCCATTCAGAATGTGTTTACTGTATTATTGGCAGGAAGAGATGGCAGAAATTCAATACTAGATAACTGGATTAGCAAGGAGATGCAAGCTGTAATTCAGTATGAATGGGCTAGAGGTCAATCAGTAGTAAAATTCATAGAAGGTTGTTTGAGGTTTATGGAGAAGCTATAATATCTGAACAGGCCATGTGAAAATGGTGACAAGAGTTCTTCAGAGGGCATATGAGTTTGTGTGATGAACAGCAAACTGGCTCTCCATCCTCTGAGAAAGAAAATGCTGAATGTATGAATTTGTTTTTGATTCAAGGAAAAAAGGACCAAAGTGTGTGAGATGGCTAAATGGTTGGGAATCTTGTTTGGCATAGCTTGCATTATTCGGGAAACACTAGGGTACAGAAAAGTGGCTGCAAGATGAGTGCCTTGCCAGTTCACAGCTCTAAATTGTTATATTTGGATGGGATTTTGTTTGGAACACTTCACTTGTTATCAGAAGAATAGAAATGCCTTTTTGGACTGAATAGTGACAGGAGACGAGACGGCCCATCATTTCATCCTCTGAATTGAAAGTTGCATCTATGGAGTGGCAGCACACAAGCTCTTCTTCATCAAAAAGTTCAAAGTGACAAATTCCTCAAGAAATGTCTTGACTGTTTTCTGGGATGCCAAAGGAGTTCCTGTGAAATTTCTTGATAATTATTTTACTGTACTAATTTACTGTTCCAACTTCTGTGGAGTTTTGAGGAATTTCTTAGCTGTCAATGCTACTCATTACTGTGCAATCCTCTGCAAGCTGAAAGCAGCCATCAAGCAAAAGCATTAAGGTCTCTTGAGTGAAGGTGTCATTTTGTTGGAGGATAATGCACTCCCTCACACACTACCACAGCACAAAAGAATGTCTTCAGTAATTGGATTAGGAGTGATTGTGACACCTGCTTTATAGCTCCAACCTGGTGCCAACTGATTTTCACTTGTCTCTATACTGAAAAACTGCAAGGGAAGTACTTTCAGAACAACAGTGATGTTGATAGCAAGATGCAGTGCATTTTGTATGCACTGGACATGACCTTCTTTGCAAGGAAATTTGAGGGGCAGATACACCAGTGGAACAAATGTTTGGATACAGATGGTGGTTATGTTGAAAAGCAGTGGATGGATGGCTATCATTCTGTGTATCTCACATTCTTGTAAATAAATTCTTGTTATCCTACCAGATCACTGAAACTTATTTATTGATCTCCCCACATATTAATCATTAAAATATAAAATATTAAGTTGAAATAATTAATAATTTTGGATATTGTAATTGTATATTATAATAAAAAATTTATTTATTTTTCATTTAATATTTAATAAGGCATTTGTATTTAATAGGGATTAAGAGGAGTAGATGGACTGCCTGGACAGCCTGGACCACCTGTAAGTAAACAATAAATTAAAGTTTCAAATTTCCTTGTTAATATGGCATTTATTTTTCAGTAATTGTACTCATACAGTAAGATAATTTAATTATGGCAGATGGGGTTGTTTTAAGCACTTTTGTGGCCTCTGGCAAACTTATTTAGAGGCATTGTACAGTTACTGATAAAGAATAAAAATATTAATAATAAACAATGAGATGAGATCCTTGATCATGGCCAAGTAGGCCCATGCATTAATGCAGCCTTGATGGCAGACAAGACAGTTTTAAAATGAAAATTCCATATTTTATCCAAAAGTTAAAAATACAATTCAAATATATTATACTATTTAAATATTACAGAACAGTGAAAAACTGCATATTCATAATAGTCACTCAAACTTTAATATTCCATTTAGTTTAAAACTAAGTGGAAGGTAATTGGATTATCTGTAATAAATCAATTACCTTCCACTTTATAGCTGAATAGCTTTATGTGTATGAGATATCTCATACACACATAAAGCTATCCAGCTATAAATAAAGCTACCCAAAATATAATAAGATTATTTTTTTTTTAAATGGAAGCAATATAAACAAATTGAATAATAACGATTTTTTGCCTATTAACATTTTTAAAGATGTATATGTATTTTATTAAAATTAAAAAAACATTAAAAAAATTAAATATAATAATAATTAGTCTGAGTTGTAAGAGAAGACTTATAATTCCAAAATAATCAATCCCCTGATGAAATAACTCAATGAATCTCATCTGATTTTTACCAAATTGGCATATTAGTACAATAAAATGATAGAAATCAATGATTAAATTTTGAGGAAAATCCATTAAACATTTACATAATTATTGCAAATAAAAACCTAAATATTTACATTTTCACCAGTAGATGGTGATACAGTATTGTGTTAGATATATACATACATACTCATGAATTTTAAATAAATGACCTGAACACAAAGACATGCAGAAGAGTAAATACAATTTCCCTTTCCTCTACACTATTGTTATTCATTCCTGGTATCAATTGCTTATGCTCTTACAATCCACAAATCTAGGAGTTACTTTAAATAAAATTGTTGTCGACATAGGGTCAAAGAAAACAGTCACAAGACTCTTGTATTACTCTTAGAAGAGTGAAGAAATCAATAATTTAATAGTTGATTTCATCATTTAGCACAGTGATCTCCAACTGCTGTGCCACAAGAGGAACATAGGTGTGCCATGCAAATTTTTGAAGGTTATTAAATTATTTTTAAAAGAAGCCCAAAAAGAACAATAAGTGTAAATGTCAAAATTAAAACCTCTTTAAATTGATCATATGAGTTTTTCATTCTTATAACAAATAAACACATACATAATATAGTAAAAGTGTATATATATATATATATATATATTCATAAGCAAAATTATAACTGAATCACACTGGGTTATTTCATTTAAAATGAAATTTTCTCTAAATCAAAAATTGTATCTATAATTGTCCATATTTATTTCAAATTATTTTAACTTAGAAATAGCAAAAATTAAGCATGTTTCTAAACATTGAGCAATTATCATGTCATTTTAAATTCAAATCAAGATTTAATGTTAATTACTTTACTACACTATCTGGAACCTGTAACTGGTGCATGACGCATATATATTGTGTACTGCTGTTGACAAATGTTTTCGAACAATCTCTTTGCTCTCCTTCAGGTCAACTGGAATTCCCTAGACAGAGTGTATTCTATTTGTTGGGATCAGGTGTCATTTCAATGAAGTGGGTCCTTTCTGACATGCGCGGTCATGCGGTGGAGGGGGAAGTTGCGGTTTGGCATCCAACAGTGATTGCCAGGCCAGCGATAGTCAGCTCCTCCTTCCAGTTAGCGCACATGGTTACCTGGCCGGCGTTATAGATAGCCGTGGCCTCTAGCCACCTGAGATGCTCCTGGTGGGGTGTGTTGACTATAACGGTAGCTTTTTCAAATTGTGCCTCAACCTCAGGATCCGACGCATATGTGGCCAGGGCTGTGGTGAGTCTTCCATGTCGGATATCCACCTGGTGTTTACGCAGACAGGTATTCAAGAAACATTTGGTTGAACCGATGTATAATAAGTTTTTGTTCTGTATGTTGTCCCTGACTGGGATAGAATAGACTCTGGGGAAGAGTCTATTCTATCCCAGTCTAAATAATTAAGAAATGTTTTCAAATAATTAAGTAAATAAATTAAAATATATTTTAAATTTTACAGGGACCAATTGGGCGACCTGGACCTCCTGGATTTCCAGGTGCATCTGGATCAAAGGTATTTTAAGCAACTTAGTGTTTTATTTAATGTAAAATTTTACATAATTAGATAATTATAATTATAAACTTTGTATAATATTTTTGAAACTTTGAATATGTCATTTTTAATACTGAATAAGAATAAGAAATTTATAATTTATATTTTTTCATGAATTTTAGTATATAACTATATTTGAATTTTATATTTCCATTTTATTAATTAATCCTCACTTTTTAAAAATTATTTTGATATATTTGATATTTTAGGGTGAAATTGGAAGTGTTGGACCACGTGGTAGTCAAGGACCTAGAGGGCCAAGAGGTGAACCAGGTTCTGCAGGTATAGCAGGAGAAAGAGGTCTAGTAGTGAGTATCATTGTACTTATTAGAAATTATTGTTTCATTTTTAAATGTACATATTTATGTTTTGGAAATGTTGTTATAAAAATAACATATGCAGTTATAATGTATTTAATATATAATTTATATTCTTTTAATGATCTTTAATTTTGATTAGTTTATTATTAAATTTTTCTTAAATGCTAATTATTAAAAATTCTAAAATTAATATTTAATAAAAAAAATGACTTGTTAAAACATTATTGAAAATATACTTAGCTAGTATTTTTATTTATTTCCAGCAAAATGAACTAACCAATTAAGCATTTCATAATAAAATTTAATCTTACTACTTTCTTTTAGAAAAGGTTAATAGTACTTTGATTTTCTAACTGTTAGAAAATCAAATAATATTATTTTTGTTATTATAGTCCTAGTTCTTCTCTCTCTTGTTCGGAATCAACTTTGAAATTTCTGTTCTGATATTTCAAAATATTTTCAACTTTTTTACTATTTTCAATGTATAATTATCTACTTCTATTTATGGTTTCTATGCTAATAACAAAAGCTATATTTGATTTTAATGTCTTTTGTAAATTTTATTATTAAAAAAATTTGTTAAAATGTGCAATTCCATAGATTCTGTCTATTAATTTAAACTAAAAATACAACTTCATATTAAGATGAATTTTGAGAAAGATAAAATACATTATTCTTATGATTTTTATTAACATTTTTTTTGACAAAATTTATTTCTATTAAGAAAAATTTAAAGAAATTAGAAAAAGTAAATTTTTAATTTGAAGACAGACCAAAAAATAGGACAAATTCAAGTAGAATATTGATAAAAATATTATAAGATTTAAGCTTATTTGTGACATGATGTTAATTTGTATACTCTGTATTGATATAATCATTATTAACAAAAACATATTTAAAAAGCAAAAAATTATTGATTTCATTTAAAAAATTTATGACAGAGTATAACAGTTCATTTACTATTTTTTAATTTTATATTTAAGGGTGCACCAGGAAAAGATGGAATACCAGGAGAAAAAGGTTCACCTGTAAGTTAAATCAATTATAATAGTTTTGATGATTTCTTAATATTATGTTGAATAAATTTTTTAATAAATAGTTTCATTTCTTTTCTTTTTATAGCATAATGTTAAATAATAATGTTTAAGGTGGTATAAATGATATATTTAAGTTTTAAATATTTCAGAAAATAAAATTAAAAATTTTCTTATCTTTGCACGATTATAATTCTGGATGAAATTACATAATTCATTTGGAAACAATGGAGAGAAATTTATTCGTTTACATATTCATAAATTTAATATTTCAAATTTGGTTAAATTATGTTATAATTCTGAAGTGTTATTTCATTTTATTTTTTAAATAAATTTTTGTTGTAAAGAGTACTTAAGTAGAGAACATTTAAAATACTAAAACTATGAAATTGTTTGTTTTTCAAAAAAAACTTTAATAAAATTATTTTTATGCAAAACAAAATTTCAAAATTTTCATTAATATAATTTTTTTCTTACATAATTAAAATTATCATTCTGATAAGAATTTTTAAAAATTTATATAAACTTAACTTTTATTTATTTTGTTTTATAATAAAAAATATAAATGACATTATCATTTTAATTAATATTAAATTATGCTTAACAATTTATCAATTTAATAAATCTTTAAATTGAATTGAATTTTATATAATCAGTATCTTCATTTAAGAAGTAGGAAAATTATGATAAGATTATACTGAGAAACAACATGAGAACATATGGTAGGTAAATACCATAAGAAAAAAATTTTTAAAGACATACAGTACATAACAGTTAATAAAACTTATGTTTTTTTTCTTTTGATATAAGTTTATTATTTGTATAATCTTTAGTTTAATCATATTTAGTTACAATTTGTTTTCAAACGAAGGAAAACAGTACAGTACATAACAGTTACTATTTTAATGTCAAATTGCTTTTTTGTTCAATTTTAAACCTCTAAGTATTTAATATTCTCACATTATATGTGTAAGTTAATTTATACAAGAGAAGTTTGGTAATAAGAAAGACATCTATCTGTAAAATGAAGTTAAAGCAGGAAAAATGAGTGTTCAACAGAAAGCGAGACTAATAATACTGAAGGAGAAAAAGAAAAAAGAAGAATGTAATAAAGGCACATGAAATAAAAAGAGATGAATTGTGAACAGAAACAGCCAACTAAAGAAAAATAACAAAAAAGAAATTTCAATAAGAAGATATCTGAACAAATACTATACTTAAGAAGATATTTAAACAGATATTTGGAAAAGTAAACTTTCTTAGTTCCATTAGGGAGTTCCTTCTACAAATATTTAAGAAATTTACAATAAATGCTAACCTTTTGACTTGCCATATGAAAGCATAAACTTTTGTTTGTCTTCTCATATTGGATACCTAAATTGATAAAAATATTAATGTGATCATAATAATGAATTGTCACAAATTCAGGTTAAAGATGAACAGAGAAGAAATGTTTATTCTACTCAACAGTAAAAATTCAATTATAGGTTATGGATCTGTAACTTGCACTTGAAATCTTTTTAATGATTATATATACAGTACATATTTTTTAAAAATGTTTTACATAAATATAATTTTTGAATTAGCTAGTATCAAATTATTTAATTTAAAATCTTTTGTAGGGTGATCGTGGTCTATCAGGTCCTCCAGGATTTCCAGGAGCACGAGGTCTTCAGGGTTTGCAAGGAAATGCTGGACTTCCAGGTCCAAAAGGTGCTCCTGTAAGTATTTTATTTTGTTCTGTTTGATATTTTATAATTTTAACTTTGCAGCAGATGCATTGTTTAGAATATGTTGTGAATTTTCATTTATAAAATTAAGATTATATAATATTACTTTATTGAAAAAGCAAAACTTAGTCCATTCCGTCTTTGCTAACATGAGATCAAACAATTTGCAAAAATTTTGTTCACAGTTTTTTCAAGTGATTGTTGCAAAACTGTTATCCATAATTACTATATCATTACCTAACATGATAAAAAAAATTAAGACATTCAATTTTTGATTCATTGATTTAATCTATGCATACATAAAGTTACTTAAGTAGTCATGTAGATTATGGTTATAAGTGTTTATACACATGTAAAACAATAATAAGCAGTGTTTTTCATTGAAGTTTGACTTTAGATTATTAATGCTGTATTCAAATGAAGAAATTAATAATAGAACAAATAGGAGAAGTGTTTTAATATGAACAATTCCTGAAAAATTGTATTTGTAATCATTTTTAACAAATCAGGATTTATGAATGAATTATCATAGATGCATTTCACATATCCATATTAACAGTTAAACAGTATTGAACATAATCTCAGATTAGATGAAATCTATTTGTAATAAAATGAAAAAAGTTTGATGATTACTTTCTGAAGTTGTTAATGACATCAAATGAAAATGAATTTTTCCAGACGTTTCTACAGACTGTGCAATCCATCAATTAAAAACGGTGCGGGAATGTTTTTTAATCGTCTCGCTTTCCTTTCTGCTTAGAAATATATACACTAATTTTTTTTCCTTCTTCTTCTTTGCGCTGTTCTATAGATGTGTGATGAATAAATATCTTTTTATCAGGTTTTCTATCCGTGTTTTTTCTTCATAAAAAGTGATTAAAATGTAACTAAAGTATGGAATATAATGCGTAGCAATTGGGGATTTCGCCGGCTAATTTTACAGAATGGACATTGTCTACACATTTAAAACATCTCTAAAGTTTAGTAACATGAAATTAGGAGAGATATTAAATCGAGTCGAAGTTTGTGTGGTAGAATCCTCTCCCCACTTAAAGCGTATAAAAACCTGACATTTCTCCATTAATTAGTCGTCCATTTTGTTAAGTCCAGTGGTTTTAAAATGAAATAAACTCTATAGTAAATAATTAGAAAAATGAATAATAAAAATTGTATTGTTCGATTCATTTAAGTTCTCGACGGGGGTTTTTCTGAGAAAAATTATTAATGAGTGCAAACCTCTAAAACCAATCTTATCACGTTTGTTAATAATACAGGCTATCATTTTTATTACCAAGTGTGTTTTTTTTAAAGGAAGGAAAGGTTATCAACACTCAAAATATATATATATATGTGTGTGTGTGTGTGTGTGTGTTTCAATTTTTTTTGTACTGAATGAAATAAATTCTATAAATTTATAGTATGACTTAAAGACTTAAAGACAATTTTTTTAGGGAATTCCGGGTGAACCTGGTACAAGAGGAGAAGCAGGAAGAAAAGGAGAAATTGGATCACCTGGACCCAGAGGTTTGCCTGGTGTATCTGGACCTCAGGGTAAAAGGGTAGATATTAATTACTTTGATGTCATTAATAAGTATAACATAACTTTTGATATAAAATATAATTTATATTAAATACTCATTAATAAATTTATATTTATTAAATTTTAATGATAAAATAATATATCATCATCATTGTTGTTTCTTCAAACTTAAGCATATTTTAAAGCCAACTACAAGTATAAGTTAAGCTACATATGTATTTAATTGCAAACATATTTTGCATAAAAAATGCTATTCTCAAACCAACATAAATTACAGATTAAATATAACAGAGTGAAAAAGAATCAAAATTTTTTTTGTTGTATTTCATTTTTAATATTTGTTGGCTTGAAAATGGCATCATGTATGCCAAAAACGTTTGCAATTAAATATGCATATATAACTTCTATAGCCTACTTCTAAAAATATCTTAAGCTGGAATATGCAAGTACAAAGTCATAAATTTATTTCATTGCAGTTTCTTTTGATATTCTTTTTATTTACAATAACTAATATTATGTTTAGCTATTATAATTTTTTCATCATTTAAGAATGTTGCTTAGCATACATTTTATCAATGTGATAGTAATCAAATTGATATTATTATTGTGATAATATTTATATTCATCTATTTGCCTAATTACATTTTAATCTTTGTATTTCAATTCATTTTTTAAATTTTAGTTTGTGTTTATGTATAATATGATTTTTGAAATCTAATCAGCTTTTATTTTTTTGAATGTCTTTGTTGATGTTTTGTTTGTGTCATTCTAATAAGTAAAATTTCTTTTTATTAAAGTACATTACATATTTATTATCATTTTTAATATTTTATACTTTTTAATAGCAATGTTAGAAAATATTAAAACATCATATTATACTTATGTACTTTTGGATGTTCTTGTGAACTTGTTATACTGAAGGAAGAGAAACATACAATTTCCTATTAAAATATGTTTATTGTAAGGTAATCTTGTGAGAAAACAATTGGTGTTCAACCAACTTAAATTAAACATTAAATTAAAACATGTAAAGAGCAAAAATAAAAAGATTGATGATAAAAATTATTAAAAATTTTTTATAAGGTAGCAACAGGTCTGTAATAAGAATAAACATTTTTTTTTTTTTTTCAAATATTCACACTTTAAATAGATTAAATACTCTAAATAAATTTAAAAATTATTGAATTAGATATAAAATTTAGATTATGCTCATCACACACAGTGAGTCTAACCTGAATTAAGTTCATTAAATGATAGACAAGAATTATTAACTATGATAATTTTCAAATTTGATCAATGATATTTTTATTGCATGTAAGTTTGCGTGAATTTTAATTTGCTTGGGTGTATAATTAGACTTTTAATTTTTAATAACATGGATGTTGAACATATATTTAGGGTGCAAACTCTAAGGGACTGAGTCTCTTAGAGTTTGCACCCTAAATATATGTTCCAGTCCATTAGAGTTAATGTCCATCACTATATTGATTTAAAAATATTTTTCTTATTTACTTTGTGAGGTTCTTAGTTAAGAGTCTTGTTTCATCTTTTATATAATTAACATACATTTATTTGGCAAGAATTTATCATATACAAGTGTCTAATTTTGATTGTTCTTAATCAAATTTAGAGACTTGCATAAGAATAAGAAAAAGTTTTCAATTTTACTTTTCATTTTTCAGGGAAAGGCTGGGCCTCCAGGACCCCCAGGTTCTCCTGGACCTTCTGGAGAAAGGGTAAGTTAGAGATTTTATTTCATTTAAAAACAGTAATTTTAAAACTGATTTTACTTTTTTCAGATTTAAAAATTTTTAAATATTCAGTATTTCTAATCAAAATAAAAAATTTCTATTAATAATAAGTTCTTACTCTTAAATACTTTGTAATTTTTTGTTTAATTCTAAATTTTAAGTTATTTTTGATTATAAAATATCTCCAAGTTATAAAAATTTAAATTGAAATATAGTATATACATTAAAGTGATTCAGAAAATATACATATAAGTCCGTATTCTCTTCTGAGTCATTAAAAAATTTCTATAATATTTCAAAAGCATTTTATTTTAGCTATTAACAGCTGTTTTATTGTTGATATTTTAGATAATTTTTGTTTATGTAAAAATAACGATTATTTCGTTAATAATCTAATAAAATACAATTATCAGTTTTCTGTTTTTAAAATATTTCTATCAATAAGATGATAAAATTCAATATTTTTATATTATGAAATTACATATTTTCCATTTTATTTTCATTTTATCTTATTTATTAATGTGTTAGGAACAGATTATCCATGTCATTAGGATAAAATGCAGTGGGTGATTGGTTAAATTATTATTTTTACTGAATTTTTATTAATTTCACATCTATTATTATTGCAATGGCTTGAAACTGCTGAATTTTTAGTATTATATTTTATGGTGTTAATATGTTCTTTAAATCAGACTTTAAATTTACATTTTGTTTCCCCTACATAAATCTTGGGTAGTGCACAGCTACATTTAAATTTATAAACTAATTCACCTGTCTTCCATATATCTAATTTTATCTGATTTTCTATGTTTCTTTATTTTACCTGTTACTCCTGGAACTAATGTAAGATCATAATTCTTCAGTTTTGTTTTGATTTTTTTGAATATTTCTTTAATATATTTTAATTTCCAATTTTTGATGTATTAATTTGTATTTTGCTAGTCTTTGAAATTTGAGATTGTATCATTCTATGTGAGACATGTATGTAAAATTCTTTAATGAGAAAAGCCATGAATTTGCCTGATACAATCAAAGGATCCAGGTTAAGCTTCTTGATCAAAATGTTTGAATATTTTGCAAATTCTATTTAGAATAAAATTTACAGTGATATCATTTTTAGTGTTATCAAATGCTCAGTAATATTATACAAAGTGAATATAAAAATAAATACTGCACATACTACCAATATCCAGCAAGAAGAAACTACAAGAAAGCAAGTGTTTTCATCAGTTAGTCTGATGATGCCCATTAAACATGAATGAAAACATTTTCTCTCTTGTAGTTTTTTTTGCTGGATATTGGTTATATGTGCAGTGTTTATTAACATAGTTAAACATAATTAATGTGTTTATTACTCAGTTTTAAGCAGTTGAATGAATATAAAATTTGCAGTTATCTTAGTGCATCAATCTTAAGATTTTTGTTTTTTTTTTTTGTTCTAAATTTGTTATTTGACTATTCATTTTCAAGTTAATCTACTTATGATAAACTGTTGAAAAATGGTTATAAATTGTTTTGTTTTAAAAATGATATGTTATAATAATATACTACAATGAATACTTACTGTTTATGAGAAACAAATATATGACATGAAAGATTTTATTAGTATTTTTAATAAACATAATTATTCAGAATATATTATAGATGTGATTATTATAATGAATGCTTACTTTTATTAAAATTTAGGGTAGTACTGGTTTGAGAGGATTACCTGGTCAAGATGGTGCACCAGGTGGAAAGGGTCTTCCTGGAGATCGTGGTCCAGAAGGTTTTCCAGGTCCAAAAGGAGAACAGGTAAAATCTAAAATATGTTTATAATCATAATGATTTTACCTGTAATATATTAATATTTTTTATTACATATTTTAATATTTTTAGGGTGAATCAGGTAGAATTGGACCACCAGGTGTACAAGGATTAAGAGTATGTATTTAATTCATTTATTTTGTAATTAATTTAACTTTTTGTTCAAATTTCTTATGTAAATTTTTACATAAATATTTTATTTAGGGTTCACCAGGACCAAGTGGTATTCCGGGTAAAGATGGTCAATCTGGAGAAAGAGTAAGTTCAGAAATTTTTAAATTTTTTCATGGATTTTGACATAATCAAAATATATATTTAGGCATTAAACGATATTAATATGTAGATCTGAATATAAAAATAGCAGTATATAATACTGCTGTAAAAGGATTTAAAGTACAGTACATGGTGCCTTGTACTTTGAATTTAATTCATTTCAGGTCTCCCAACATAAACATTGAACTAGTTTCATTGTATATATTTTTTTCAAGATAATTATCTAATTTTTAAGTTAACATTTTAAAATTATATGGGAGATTTTTTATAAAGATAAATAATAAACATTTTTTTATTTTTTAAAAGTTAATTTATATTGAAAATTTTTCTTTTTAAATAGGGTCTTCCTGGACCTGAAGGCAAACTAGGTATTCCAGGCCCACAGGTATAATTTCCAAATTTATAAAATTAGTTTATTTAAGATTAAATGAATTTTAAGTAAATAAATAATAATAATTTCAAATTTCTATGACAATTGAAATTTTACTCTTATTATTTTTTGGTAATTTTGTTTATTAATCTATGATCAATAGCTGAAATTTTAAATATTTTAATTTTATTTTTCTAAATAATATTTTTATTATTATTGATTTATATTTTTTGATTAGAACTATAAAGTCATAATTGAATTTTTAAAATATTTAATTTTTATTTTGTCATAAATAAGTGATACTTGTTTTTTAAAGAGAGGTGTAAAATACATTTTGAGTTTTGTTAAAATAATATGAATGAGAACATAATAAAGAATGAATATTATTTAATTTTAATTTAATTCTAGTTGATTGTAAAATGAAATGGTAATAAAGTTTACATTTGTGTAAAGATTGTATTGAGTTTAGTTGAATTATGTTATTTAATGACAATATTATTTACAGAATTTAATTTAGAGAATGTCAGTAATATTCTCTAGATTAAGTTCTATAAATAATATTTTCACTAAATAATATGATTCAACTGAATTTATTTATTTTTTATTTATATTTTGAATAGAAATAATCTCTTTGGAAGGAATAGCTTCAATAAAGAAGTGTTTAAAAAAATTAAATGAAATTTTTAATATTTTGAATTAAATGTTTTGAAATATTTACATTACACTGTTCTTATATTTTTAAAGTTTAGATTTAATAACTTATTTTTTGAATTAATTTGCTACTTAAATTTCTTGTTTAAATTCAATGTTTTATAGTAGGATGGAGAAATCACTGAGATCAGTGTTATATATCGGAAATCTCAGTGATTTCTTTGTCCTACTATACAGTATTTGGCATGAATATCAACCCATTGATTATCAATTTCTTATATTTTCAAATATCATTTTGATATTACAATGAAATGTATTACATATATTTGAATAAAAAATTAATAATAATTAAATCTAATGTTTGGGTTTTAATACAGAAATATAGAATATTTGATACAATATTTAAATAATTTCAGATATTCATGTCAGATTTTCAAATTTGTGTAATGCATGTATAAAGTAACTTATTAACATTTTCTCAAATAACTTTAAATTAGTTTTTAAATTCAGAGTAACATAAACTGTAAGAAATGTAAGGACTTTTTTATAACTTATCACTATTGAACATTTTTGTTTTCCATTATAACACTTAATATTTAATTTTCTCTGAAAAAATTTCATCTTTGAAGTATTAGCAAAAGTTTAATTGTTCTAAGGCCTAATAACATAAATAACAGAAATGAAATCAATGCCTTGTGAATAGCAAGGTTATGAAATATATACAGTGATATATATGATGTTGTACAGTCACATTATTTATTGAATGAATTTTAATTTCTCAATTAGTGTATAATTTACTTTCATAAGATAAAGAAAAAAAACTATTTAAGAAAACTTTTATTGAGATTAAAACAACTGAAGTATTTCCTATAAATGTATATTGATTGATAAAATTTAACAAAAATACAGATAAATTTTATTGTTGAGAGTTTTTATTACAAGTTTATATCTTTTGTTTTGATTTGAGTGTACTTAAGTTAATTCACAAATATTTAATTTTGTAACATGAAAAAATTTTATGATAACTGTTTATTACATAAAAATATTTATGTAGAAAATGATTTTGAATATTATTATGTTGTTTAAGTTATTTGAAATATAGTAAACCCCCATTAACTTGAACTCCACCAAATTTTTTTCACTCAGATTTGCATAACTTGAACAAATTTGTTTTGAAAAATCATACAGTAATTTAAAATTTAAAATAGAAAAATTATAATTAATAAGTAATTATAATTATAACAAAATTGTTTTCAATCCAGAAGTCTTTGCAAGACATGCATGATATTACTGTAGTCATTAAGTTAGTAAAGACTAAATTGCTCTAACTGTACATTCATGGAATTTTTGAGCTTATTTTTTGTAATAATAAATTCAGCTATATAACCTACCTAAGCTGAGTAAAACTTCTGTATAGAGCTGATTGTAATAAATTATTGTATCATATAACAACCCTTCATTTTCCATATTATTGGAAAAACACCCTCCTAACTCAGACTTGTAAACTTGGATAAACTTCACCCTTTGTTAGTTTGAGTTAGTGGCTGTTTACTGTATTGTGAAATAGTGATTTGAATATTTTTTTCATTTGAATGCTAGAGTATAACAAAATAATTGAAAATATAACAAGTAAAAACGTTTCAAATCAACAAATCTATACATAAACTAGCATCTACCAACCTGATGTACTGTACATATGTAATATACCAAGTTATATACTATTTAGTAATTTATTTCAAAATAATTGCAATATAATAGCCTGGTATAATCTGGTAGTTGTTGGCATATCAACAGATTTGTTTTTATAAAAACTTGGCCAGTTTTATCACATGACTTTTATTAAAACTTTATCATTAATCAGTTAATATAATATTTTATTTTATTAATTGGCATAAATTAGGTGTTAATTATGCACAATTTATAGATTAAGCATTAAAAATCAGTAGTTTATTTAAAATATACTTTTTACTTGATTGCAGTGTAAGAATTTTAGTTTTATAATTTAAATAATGTATTTAAAAAAAAATAATGTATTTTAATCAAAATTGTAATTTAAAGGGTATACAAGGTCCTCCAGGAATAGCAGGATTGCCTGGACAAAAGGGAGAAAGGGTAAGAAAAATTAAGTTTTCTGTACAAAAATTAAAACAAATTATGTAATTAAAAGTAATAGGTTTATTGTATTTAAATAATTGTGTATGTATAGTATAATGTATAGTATATATATATATACTATACATACATGCATATATAATTATACAATATGTTTTATATATGCCATTTTTAAAATTATTTATTGCTTTTATTAAAATTAAATAAAAGGGAATAATTTAATTTTACATTTAATTATGGTAGTTTAAAATATTAATTTTGGTAATATGTTAATTTAGTAATATGCAATCATTTGGCATATAGTAATATGCCAAATGATTGCATATTACTAAATTATTTAGCATATTACCAAAATTAATGTTTTAAACTACCATAAAATATTGGACTTTAGAATGTTTATATATATATGTATATATTAATTAAATTTCTTAATAAAAAAGAAGCTGGATCTGTATGTGTATGTATACATACATATAGATCATAAAGTAGAGACAGATAAATAGTATGTATATATACTATTTAAATATAACTTTTATCTAAATAAAGTCATACAGTATTTTTGATATTTTACTATTATAAAATCTATTGAATTGAATACAAAATTTATAGAGTTCCAATTTATTAGATTACCCAAACTTAATTTAGAGAGAAGGTTATAATTAAAATAATATATTTTTATAGAGAAGGTTATAATTAAAATAATATATTTTTATGTAGGGAGATGTAGGAGTTGATGGTCAGCCAGGTCAAATTGGGTCACCAGGGCCAAGAGGTGATCCAGGAAAAGATGGAGCTACAGGAACACCAGGACCTAGAGGACTTCCTGGTGAACCTGGGGAAAGAGGATTACCTGGTTTACAAGGTTCAAGAGGCTTTCAGGTAATTTGAGATAATTAAAGAAAAATTTTAAATTTAAATATTAACGTTTTACAACAACAACAACAACAACAACAACAACAACAATAATAATAATAATAATAATTGATGATTGTAATGAGTAGAGCCAAGTGATCTTGCCAGAATTATTGGGCTACTACTGGACTATGTTAATAATTAATTACTAATCAGTCTGACTAGAGGTAGGCAGTTAAGCTGCCATCTTGTATTAATTATAATAATTATAATAAATTAATTTAATTTAGAAATTTCTGGAAGAAAATAATCAGCTCAGATTGGGACCTGAACCTACAGCTCCCACTTACTGTGTGGATGTATTGCTAATTACACTACCCAGACCTCTGTCCGATCTTTCCTTTAGAACTATTAATTTAAAATATAACCATACTGGTTAGTTACAATGCCAACTAGGGATGACTTAAAGCATCCATAGCCTTTAACTCTCTCCATGGTATTCATTCAGCTATTGCATTCACCTGAAATGATATATATATATATATATATATATGATGGGTAGGACAACTCTCACAAACTTGATATTAGTAATAAATAAGATAAAAACTATAACTACTGGTTTTGATATTAATGCCTTAATTTGAATATAAATATAAAAGTAATAACAATGACTAGTTTTTTCAATAAGTATAACTTATTGTTATCAACTGATTGAATCAAATAAAATAGAATTTGAAATGGCTGTTTGGAACAATATAATCTGAAATACTTATTTTAAATGATAAATTTTAAATATAAAACCATTTTTAATGAAATTATTATTTAAAACATTATAAATAAATATAAAAACTAAAATAATAAATTTGTATTTAAAACATCAAATATAATAATAATGGATTTGTTTTGGTCTTTTTGAAGCTCAAAAATAAAACTTTAAAAATTTGAATTTTTATTTTGTTTTCTGTCAGTTGGTATTTATTTTTGTAAGTGAAAAATCCATTATTATTATTATTTTTATTTTTGGTAATTTGTTATTTTTTATATTTATTTATAATATCTTAAATGATTTAAATGATAAGTTCATTAAAAATGACTTTATACTTAAAATTTGTAATTTAAAATAAGTATACCATGTAATACTTTAAATGATAAGTATTGTTAAGAAGAATTTTGTATTTAAAATTTATCATATAAAATAAATATTTTATGTAATATTATTCCAAATGACAAGTTTAAATTCTGTTTTGTTTGGTTTAATTACCTGAAGATGGTAAGATATAGAGGAGAAGGTGGTATTATGGAACCCCAATTACATTTTAGTGAATTGTAAACAAGGTATCATAACTACACCTACATTTTTTATGCGAAAAGTACTGGTAACTAGTAAACTAAATGTTCTTAATTGGATTTTTCGCTAGTGTAATTATAAGTATGGTTTTTGAAGGCTTTTGTACAAAAAGTCCGAAAGTAGGCTTAGAGAAAATCGGGTGGTAATATGGAACCTTACTGTATATTTTCAAAAAAAATGCTTTAATGTAGCCAAAAACAAATAGGAAAGGACAAAAAATGTTAAATAATTACAAAATTATTTACTCCAATGTATTTTATCGCAAAAATGCTTTTATAATAGAAAAATATGACCTCCATCAACAATATATATTCCAGCAGCTCTTTTTCGATATTCTCAGGAAGAATTGGCTTTCTACCTAGTGTCTTTTTCACAAATTGCTCTGGAGGAATGTCTGCTTGCAAATAGAAAGTTCGGAGGAGTTGAGTTCCATATTACTGTAAAAGCACCAATGGGGTCCGTATTTCACGCATCGCCATCTCGAATTAACTTTTGTCTGTCGAGACCAAAATTTAAAAAACGTGAACATCACACAGATTAATATGTACCCCTAAGTCTCCAGAACGGAATACATGCACCAGTGAACCTACAACTACACGATTTATATTTTAGAAATAATTAAATTCACTTAGCATTCAAAACTTGTGAATTTTGAAAAAAACAAATTTGCTGATTACATACGGACAACTGTTTAACTGAAGTAAAACGGGTTTTCACCTTGCTATGGATGTCTGCCTAGTTCAGTTCAGCCACATTCCGCTACAGTTCGCCTTTATTATCAGTTCGAAATGGGGTGGTTCCATAATACCCGCAGTGTTCCATAATACCCGCAGTGTTCCATAATACCACCTTCTCCTCTACTTATTGAAAATACTAACCACCATTTATTGCTTTTATGTTTATATTCTAATGAAAGAATTAACATTCAAAAGTTAGTAAGTTAGTAATTTTTTGTCTTATTTATTAATAATAATAATGATAGTTCAATTTGATTGCAGGGTATTCCAGGTATTCCTGGTACAGCTGGTTCACCAGGGAAAGATGGGCAACCTGGATCACCTGGACCTCCAGGATTTCCAGGACCATCAGGAGATAGAGGAGAGCGTGGATTTCCAGGAGAAAGAGGCCCACAGGGACTTCCTGGTCCACAAGGAATTAGAGGTGAATCTGGACCTTCAGGAAAAGAAGGAAGCAGGGTAAATAATATAGTTTTTTGAGAAACAAATATTATCACAGTACAGGAAATAATGACTTTAATTTATTTTTAGGGATTACCAGGTGATAAAGGTGCAAAAGGAAGTTCAGGACCTTCAGGATTACTTGTAAGATTTCAGATATAATGTTTTTATTTATGCTAAATGAAATGTAGATTTTTTATTAATTTATTGGAGATAGACTATAATAATTTTGAAATTATTTTTGCTTTCTTATTCTATTTTTATTTTTTGTTTATCTAACTTAATATTAACATATAAACATATCATTTAATATCAAATTTTAAATCATTTCTTTTTATAACATTTTTTTAATAATTTTTCTGAACACTTAATTTCTTGAATGTATTTAGATAATTTTATGTAGAAATTTAATTAAAAAGTTAATAACTAAGAGAAATTTGGTATAAATATTACCAATAATAAATTTTACAAAATAAATACTGTATAAACAAAATTTATTACAAAATAAATTACAAACAAAATTAACATTACATATTCTCTTGTTCACACATTTTAAAAATGTTCAAAACAATTCAATTATTAATAAATTGACTCAAAAACAGAAAATGTTAATAAACATTTAAGGAGTCAGCTTTGCAAGAAAACAGTGACTCCTTGAATTCCTTATTTATGTTTTCTGTTTTTGGATTGGATTTATCTATGGAGTCATTTCTTAAAAAGGATAATAAATTGTAACATTGCAAAAGTTTGTTTTTCAAAAGGTATTTGAATATAAGAATCTCACAATCATATGATAAACAACAATAATTCTTTATTTTGATAAAATTACAACAAATAATTTTAATTAATTAATTAATTAATTTTAATTAATTAATAATTTCAACTAAAAATGATGGAAATAAAGCCAAGTGTTTATTTATAACTCAAATGTGAGTTCGAAGTCCAATATATTTGCGAAAATTATCATCTAGGCGTTAACAACCTACAGTTATCGCTACAACTAGCGCTTTCAACGAAACTATTTTCGTCTTCTTCAGGTTGATAGAACAGTTAATAACCTTCAAATTCAAATTACAGCAACGGCAAACCAGCATTGAAATAAACTCAAAATAGAACAAAACAGAAAGTTTGAAAGATGCGCGCTTGATGCCAACGCGCATGAGCAATAGATTATTTTGCGAGAATGCGGAGCTAGCGATGTTGTTTTAACCTGTTGTATAAGTTGACCCACAAGGAAGGCACATCCAGCGTGGGAGTATTGCATGGATTTAGCATGCTGGTAAATAGCGCCTCCCATATATACAAGAGGTTCCTGCTATCACACTGTTTGAGTATCCCCACTTGGTCCCACATCAGAGTGTATTGATGTTGCAACACCAATCTTGCCAACTCGGTGTCGCACCTACCCATACTAATAGATTGTTTGTGTTCGGAGATGCAGCAAGACAACATTCTGGATGTCGCTCCAATATACTGGGTATGAGTACCAGCTGTTGTATTTTCCAATGGGATGGAATACACTCCAGACCGCTTTGGCACAGAAAAAGCATCCCTGTCATTGCATAACACTCTTCTAAGGTTTGGTCGCGGCAACACTGGCAGAAAAAGCGTATGCTGCCTAAAAATACGGCAAATGCGGCCAGTAATACGGCCACAGAATGGTAATGACGCTGGATTAACATACATTCTTCCGAGGTCTACAAAGTCGTGTCAGGAAATAGAGATCCTTTAACCTTTCTAAGGATGTACCTGTACTTAGATCTAGTTTATCCCCCCACCGAGTGATTCTGGTGCATCTGAAGTAGTCCCAGTGACTCTAGCGGCGCTTAAAAACTGTCAAGCGGCCTCTAAGTTACCTAGTATGGAGCTTTCCATCGTCTCAGTGCTTGCTTCCCAGAAGCATTCCAAGAGTGGTATTGGAAATTGTGTGAACAGCCATATTATAAAGCGGTACCTGCAGGAGAGAGGTCTATCGCTCCTGATTTCGGACAAGGAGAAGTTTGTTTTGTGCAAAGAAGAGGATTTTCTGGCCAGAGCCTTGAATTTCCTCAGGCTTTCCCATGCTGAAGTTTTACAGTCTGATCCAACCCGTTCGGTACTAAGGAAGGCTAGGAAAATAGCATCTCTTCCAAGTATTTCCGCTCTTCTTGGATGTGTGGATCTGCTGCCCAATGTAGCTTGTCCTAGGCTCTTTTTTGAAATAAAAACCCATAAGGAGAACCGCCCTCTAAGGCCGCTGGTTAATAAAAGGTCCCACCCAACCTACCACCTGGAGAAGGCTATAGCTAAGTTACTGGGTGGGCTCCTTCCCCCATCGCCCCTAGTTACGTCATCGTCCATTGCAGCAAAGGCCACTATTTCTTCTGTATTGGATAATCTATCCCATAGCATTTACAACTTCTACAAGATGGATGTGGTTGCACTCTACCCCTCAGTACCACAGTTTGAGGCGGTTATGCTTGCCAATGCTATGCTTGTTAAGGAGGGTTTTACAGTGCAGCAAATCCTAGAAATATGAGAGACCTTGCTTTTTATCACAGAAAATAATTACTTTTGGTTCAACGGGAAAGTATATCTACAGAAACAAGGGGTACCTATGGGCTCTCCACTCTCTGCTATATTGGCGAAGTTACTCATGAGGCGTGTTGAGCAAAGAGTGTTTAGCTTCCCTCTCACCATAGCATACCCGCTATTATATCTTAGATACGTGGACGATATCATAGTAGGCTGGCAACACACAGAAGAGGAATTCCATATCCTCAAAAGTTATCTTATGCAGGTTTATTCTACCATCAAGTTTACCTGGGAAAAGGAAAAGGAAGGTGAGATTGCATTTTTAGATTTAAAGATCACCAAAGCCCAGGGTGGTATAGAGTTCTCCGTGTTCCATAAGTTCAACAGCATACCTCCTTTAATTCCTGCCACCGCATACCAACCACAGCACTACGTCAACGCAGCTATCGCTCCTCTAATTAGAAGGGCCTTTTTGTTGTCTTCCAATCAAGCTCTTGTCAACATCGAGCTTGAAGCTATAAGTGCAGCGGTAAGTGCGGCAGGTTATGCTAGATCTAAGTACAGATACATCCTTAGAAAGGTTAAAGGATCTCTATTTCCTGACACGACTTTGCAGGCCTCAGAAAAATGTACGTTAATCCAGCCGTCATTACCATTCTGTGGCCGTATTACTGGCCGCATTTGCCGTATTTTTAGGCAGCATACGCTTTTTCTGCCAGTGTTGCCGCAACCAAACCTTAGAAGAGTGTTATGCAATGACAGGGATCCTTTTTCTGTGCTAGAGCAGCCTGGAGTGTATTCCATCCCATTGGAAAGTACAACAGCCGGTACTCATACCCAGTATATTGGAGCGACATCCAGAATGTTGTCTTGCTGCATCTCCGAACACAAACAATCTATTAGTATGGGTAGGTGCGACACCGAGTTGGCAAGATTGGTGTTGCAACATCAATACACTCTGATGTGGGACCAAGTGGGGATACTCAAACAGTGTGATAGCAGGAACCTCTTGTATATATGGGAGGCGCTATTTACCAGCATGCTAAATCCATGCAATACTCCCACGCTGGATGTGCCTTCCTTGTGGGTCAACTTATACAACAGGTTAAAACAACATCGCTAGCTCCGCATTCTCGCAAAATAATCTATTGCTCATGCGCGTTGGCATCAAGCGCGCATCTTTCAAACTTTCTGTTTTGTTCTATTTTGAGTTTATTTCAATGCTGGTTTGCCGTTGCTGTAATTTGAATTTGAAGGTTATTAACTGTTCTATCAACCTGAAGAAGACGAAAATAGTTTCGTTGAAAGCGCTAGTTGTTTGTAGCGATAGCTGTAGGTCGTTAACGCCTAGATGATAATTTTTTCAACTTTACTTATCCAAGATTCCGCGTGAAGTCCAATATTATTTTTTCACTTTTAATATATTTGCAAAACACGATTTCAAAAACAACATAAATAATTTTAAATAATAAACCTCAAGTTCTTTTGAATATGAAATTCATCATAAAATGGTGGAATCTAAATTATTTGGCTTTTTGGGGGCAAAACAGATAGATTCCTGCAGTCTTAAGTTTTGGGGAGTCCAGATAGGTCCTACAGCCTTGGGTTTATGGAATGGCCTGAAAGGTAGGCTGACCATATGTACCATTTTTTGCTCTGTCCTGGCTGTCCTATTGTTTTAGTGAAATTTTCACTTTTGCCCATTCTTTGAAAATCAAAACAATTAGCTCTCTATTTTGTCTGTCAAACACATTTGTGTACTGTATTCTGAACTTGTGATTTGTTATAAAATATTTATTCTGAATTGATAAGGGTCATAAATTTGAATGGATACTGCTGAAGATAATAAAGTCAAATGATTGCTGGTTTAAATAGGACTGCTTTTGCCATTACTATTAAAAATTAAATACAGTGGTGTTTCGTATAACGTACGCCTCGAATAACGGACGCTGCAAACAACGGACTTTCTGTTTCGCCGTTACATGACTCGAGCAACGGACTGGCTGCGAACAACAGACTTTCCATTTGGCAGTTATGTGAGACAAACACCATTTCTGCAAACATGTTGCAAATGATGTTTCTACTCTTTTTCCGTTGCCAATGACAATCTACTATTTTTAAAATATATTAGTATTATTAGAATATATTATTAGTATATCTGAAGTACAGAGCTCCCATTGTGATTCGGCTTGCTTCCTTGTTTATTACGTACATCACCTGAGTGCAGGGTATTTACATTTATTCAAGTGTTGTGCAAATCATGGCTTCTAAAAAACGGAAAAGTGATTTCAATTGAAACAAAGCAAGAAATCATCAGAAGGTGTGAAAGTTGACAAGAATTTCCTTTTCAAATGGGAAGAGGTTCAGGAGTTTATCAACACTCATTATTCAAACAGAGCTGAGGCCAACAGGAGCAATGATCTCTACAATGACACCCTTGCCCGTCATTTCCGACAGGTATTGAAGAAGAGAGAGAAACAGACCACCTTGGACATGCTTTTCAAAAAGCCAATTGCCAAAAAACAAAGGATGGAACAAGAAGAGTTGACTCTGCAATCCCCGGTAGCCGCTGCTGAATCTGACCCCGATTAAAAAACAATAAAAAGAGACCTGCTGCAATGTATAAAAAGTCTGTATCTGTATGAATGTGTGAAGAAAATGTTCCTCCACCTCCTTCTCACAACATCTGACTACAAGGCATAATTGGTGACTGCTCCATTTTCATTTTTTTTTTAATGGTACAGTATGGTTATTTTATGCTGTGGAATGAATTATATGTTTTAACATGTATTTCTATGGGAAAATGTGTTTTGTATAATGGACTTTTCACTTAATGGACGTGCACCTAGAACAGATTAAGTATGTTATACGAGGCACCACTGTAATTTGGAACTAGAAGAGGCACATAAGTACCTCCTCTAGTGCCTATAAATGTTAAAATGCTAGGTAATTATTAGTTTTCTAAGGTTATCTTTACTCTACATGCTGGCGTGCTGTTGTGGTCATACTGGACTTTATCAGTTTTTGGATGATGTTCTTTGAGCTTAGTGTTCAAATGATCCAATTGTTCATAGTAGAATTCTTTTGTGACAGTGATGTTGATTGAAAGTAACTTTATCATCCCAAACAAATGTAGATCATCACTTTCTTTTATACTGTCATTCCTTTGATATTTGCAACATCTGGTTGACCTTTGTTCACTCATGAATGCTTTAACAAATGCTTTGCAGATGAGATCATGAGTCTTTGTTGCATTGTGGCCACTTTTGAAGTTTTAGAGCAACAGCATGAAGATGTGTTCTTTTGAAAGTTTCGTGTTATCAGACATTGCATGTGTCAATTTCCAATGAAATATGTGGTAAAATACTCCCTTGGTTACTCTACTTATAGACAGACCCACATTGAACATTATAAAACATTTTTTTCCAGTCACATATAGAAAAAAATTGAAATGTCTAAATTTAACCTTTACAATCTAATGCAATTGTAATGTTTTGTATTCATTGAAAAGTTAATCTGTTGCTTGGATGAGGTGGTAAAGTTAATCTGTCACTCCAGTAACTAGAATTGAATCTTCCTTGGGAAATTTTTGTTGGTAGTATGTCCTGGATATTTCTAACCCTGCCCTAACTATCAGGTCAGTCCATAAGTTCATGCACATTTTTATCTACAAAAAAAGCAACGAAAAATTTTAATTAAATCTTATTTCAATCTATAATGTATTCACTATTATTTTGTACAATTTCTTGCCATCTTGATGGTAGCTTTTTAATCCCGTCTTTGTAAAATTATTTCGGTTTTGAATCATCATATTCAGAAATAGCCTTTTTTACATTGTTCTCATCCTCAAAAGTTTTTCCTTTTAAAAAATTCTGCAAACTCCGAAAAAGATGATAATCACTGGGAGCAATATCTGGCAAATATGGTGGATGAGGTAAAATTTCCCAGTTGAAGCTTTTGAGTTGAGCAGTTGACGTTGTTGTCAGTTAGCTATTGACAGTTCATGTGGTATCCATTTTCCTAGCTTTGAAACTTTTCCGATTTGTTGTAGATGTCTATGAACAGTTCCATGGGATGAATTTAAACGTTCCGCAATTTCATCAACTGTTAAAGATGGTTCTGCTTCAACTAGTGCAGAGAGAGCATCATCATCAAAGTCAACAGGTCTTCCAGTACGAGCCTTATCCTCCACACTAAAATCATTATTTCTAAATCTTTCAAACCACTTCTGCGCAGTCCTTACACTAATTACAGTTTGATTATGAACAGTATTTAATTTTTTGGCTGCATTTGTAGCATTCTCATCACTTAAAAATAAAAAGTATAAAACATGTCTCTTATATTCATGTGTTACTTCCATTTTAACGAAAATAAACAACTGAAATGTTCCCAATTCTGAACAGTATTATATGAATGAGATCCAATTTAACACTTCAGTGTAAAAGGTATCACATTAGACTGGCATTTTTAACAGCAAAACAAGATTTTTCTCAAGGTAATAAAATACGCACGAACTTATGGACTGACCTGATACTTGGTTGTTCCCATTATGGGCTTGGCCCAACACAAAAGGTCCTCTAATGCCCATGGGACAGAATATGTTTATAAAAATATATTTAATAGTAATTCCTTTGCTTATTTTTAATGTATGTATGCAGATGTGTGTGTTTAATAAAAATATATAATTTCTTGTTAGGGTTTACCGGGAAGAAGAGGAGATGTTGGACCCGCTGGTCCAAAAGGTGATAAGGGAGAAACTGGTTTAGTTGGCCCTGCTGGACCCTCTGGCAGACCAGGAGATCAAGGACCACCAGGCTTGTCAGGACCAATAGGACCTCGTGGAGAATCTGGTGATAAAGTAAGTTTTACAGTCTTTCAAATAAAAAGATTATAAATGTAATTTTTATAATTTGAAATATATTATGAAAACATAACCAAACATAGAATTAATATATATTTTATTTATCTCTTTCATGAATAATGAATATGTAAAATGAAAATTTGATTAATAATAAATTATTGTTTTTTTTTTAAATAATATTTTATTAGAGATTATAAAGTTTAAATAATTTATAATTTAAAATTATTCATATGTCATGTAATATTAAATGCTAATGTCCTGTGTAGGTAGAAATCTAAAAGTTTTTAACATTATTTATTATGTAATAAACCATGCCTGAGTTAATCAAATAATTTTGGTATATTTAATCAAATAATAAATCCAGATTGATAATTTGATTAGTAACATTATTTATTATTTTTTATCCTTTAGTTTTGTTTGGAGATTTTTAATCTGCTTTAGAGTCTGCTTTTTATTTTTAATTGTTGTTTAAATCTATATCAAATATTTAAAATATCTGCATTAGTTGTCAGATTATATGACAAAATATTTTTTTCAAAAACTAATACTGTTTTTTAATTCCCTTGACATAATATTACTTTACGCTTATATATTTGTTCATCTCATAGTGCCATATCAGGTTTTCCTGACCTCGGCCACACCCGGCGCAGATTAGTAATGCGCCAAGGTGTTACTAGGGAAGGGTACAATCCAGAGTGGTTTCCCGTTGCCTTCTCTGGGGCGCGATTTTGCGCGAGGGGATCAAATGCCTTCCAGGAGGACTTTTATGGGGAACTGGCCTCCTATTTAGTCGTTATTGGCAAGGAGAAAACCCGGAAAACTCCAAGCAGCCAGCCTGTCCGATCGCGGCGTGAACCCACGACCGAACTCCCTGTGTTTAGGGTACGAAGACCATTCGGCCACTGGTGGGCCATATATTTGTTAGTAAATTTAAAATAAGAGTCTCTCTCTATTGTTAAATACAAATACAAATTGCATAAAATAACACTTTTGTAACTTAAAGTTTTCCAAAATAAAGTAATTTCTTATAAAATTCTTATTTTCAAAATAGTCCTTTTATAACTTAATATTAATTGAGAAATAAATGAGTTCTGCTTTCAGAAAAAAATATTTTAATAAATAGTTAAAACTGTTCAGTAAATATAGTCTGTTCAACAATAATAGAACATAGTGATTGCCTAGGAACTTGCTATTATTTTCATGTAACTTTGATGAAATTTGCTAGTACATTTTATAGCAAAATATTAACTATTATTTCCAACTTTATGGTTGCAGAAAGCAACTTTATGGTTGCTTTCTGAAAACAGGTTACCTGAAAGATTTTCTATGGGGATTTAATTTGCACTGAAGGATGCCCAGTCCAAAAGCCACATATTCTTGCACTGAAAAAGGATAATGTTGATTTTGAAACATGAAAGCTTGCATTGTCATGCATGAATTTAAAATCCTGTCTAGCAATTCTGTCTGGAGCTTTTGCAGACAACTCCTGATAAGTTTGAGAGTTAAACCAGATCTTTTTTATCTTAACAAAGTCTTATTTATTTTAGATTTAAGTATTTAAAATTTATTTTATGTTATGCAGTTAGCATCAAACTATCAAAATTAAGAGACTTCTAATGAAAGTTTCATATAATATTTTATTAAAATTTAATATTTACATTAAAAACAACATAAAATGTTAGAAAAATATGATTATTTAACACTAAGCAAAATATACATATTGTCATATAAGAAAGAAACACAAGTATAGGCATAATGATGATGATAATAACATGATGAAAAAAATAAAATGTCTTTATAAATAATTTCTAAACTGTAAATTTATTCATTCACTCAATCTGTAAAAGCTATATAAATTTTTGGAATAAGAAAAGGCTATCTATTCTATATAAATATATAATTGTTATCTTTTAAAATGAATGGTTTTAGTAAAATGTTGCCAAATTGATAGTGATCTGTCTACAAGAGATTTCAAATACTCAATGATTCATGTTTCCTGAATAACATGACATTCATCACATTATTATTGGAATCTGGAATGTGAAAATATAAAATTTGAAATGAATTTTGTTGCATTTTTTTTAAATCTTGAATATCATTCAAAGTCCTACCTTTACCTCATAGTTTTCTTCCCAAAAACTATCTTCAGATTTGAAAAGTTTATTTAGCAATTTAATGTGTATGTTTACTCTTTCATGTTCAATATTTGCAGATATTGTAAAATTTTAAAGATTTGAATACACAAATATAGCTGAGATAGTATAATTCTCTTTAATACTACAACATTAACATATGCATTATAATTAAGAGTACATGCATTATAATTAAGAGTACATGATCCAACAAATTGGGTTTTTAAGCAATAAATCTACATTAAATATGAGGATGACTTCTTGCTGTAAGTCTCAGAAGTGAAATATTGATTCTAATAATGTTATTTAAATAAAGTTATATTTACATTAAAATTACAATTACTAATGCTTCTTATTTTTATTTTCATATAATAATTCATATTTATTGAATGTAATGAATATCTACAGTTAGAAATTTTTACATTAAAGGGTGAAGTTGGTTCTCCTGGACCTGTTGGTTTACAAGGTCCACCAGGTGTTCAAGGTGATAAAGGACCTCCTGGACTTCAAGGAATACAAGGACCTCCTGGTCCAGTAGTATGTATTAAAATTTACTGATTTTTTCTATCAGATTGTTTATTATATAATAATTAATAATTTTTTTATCATTCCAACTTCATATGGATATTAAAAATATTAAATAGAATTAAAAATTTTCTACATAAAANCTTGGTCCCACATCAGAGTGTATTGATGTTGCAACACCAATCTTGCCAACTCGGTGTCGCACCTACCCATACTAATAGATTGTTTGTGTTCGGAGATGCAGCAAGACAACATTCTGGATGTCGCTCCAATATACTGGGTATGAGTACCGGCTGTTGTACTTTCCAATGGGATGGAATACACTCCAGGCTGCTCTAGCACAGAAAAAGGATCCCTGTCATTGCATAACACTCTTCTAAGGTTTGGTTGCGGCAACACTGGCAGAAAAAGCGTATGCTGCCTAAAAATACGGCAAATGCGGCCAGTAATACGGCCACAGAATGGTAATGACGGCTGGATTAACGTACATTTTTCTGAGGCCTGCAAAGTCGTGTCAGGAAATAGAGATCCTTTAACCTTTCTAAGGATGTATCTGTACTTAGATCTAGCATAACCTGCCGCACTTACCGCTGCACTTATAGCTTCAAGCTCGATGTTGACAAGAGCTTGATTGGAAGACAACAAAAAGGCCCTTCTAATTAGAGGAGCGATAGCTGCGTTGACGTAGTGCTGTGGTTGGTATGCGGTGGCAGGAATTAAAGGAGGTATGCTGTTGAACTTATGGAACACGGAGAACTCTATACCACCCTGGGCTTTGGTGATCTTTAAATCTAAAAATGCAATCTCACCTTCCTTTTCCTTTTCCCAGGTAAACTTGATGGTAGAATAAACCTGCATAAGATAACTTTTGAGGATATGGAATTCCTCTTCTGTGTGTTGCCAGCCTACTATGATATCGTCCACGTATCTAAGATATAATAGCGGGTATGCTATGGTGAGAGGGAAGCTAAACACTCTTTGCTCAACACGCCTCATGAGTAACTTCGCCAATATAGCAGAGAGTGGAGAGCCCATAGGTACCCCTTGTTTCTGTAGATATACTTTCCCGTTGAACCAAAAGTAATTATTTTCTGTGATAAAAAGCAAGGTCTCTCATATTTCTAGGATTTGCTGCACTGTAAAACCCTCCTTAACAAGCATAGCATTGGCAAGCATAACCGCCTCAAACTGTGGTACTGAGGGGTAGAGTGCAACCACATCCATCTTGTAGAAGTTGTAAATGCTATGGGATAGATTATCCAATACAGAAGAAATAGTGGCCTTTGCTGCAATGGACGATGACGTAACTAGGGGCGATGGGGGAAGGAGCCCACCCAGTAACTTAGCTATAGCCTTCTCCAGGTGGTAGGTTGGGTGGGACCTTTTATTAACCAGCGGCCTTAGAGGGCGGTTCTCCTTATGGGTTTTTATTTCAAAAAAGAGCCTAGGACAAGCTACATTGGGCAGCAGATCCACACATCCAAGAAGAGCGGAAATACTTGGAAGAGATGCTATTTTCCTAGCCTTCCTTAGTACCGAACGGGTTGGATCAGACTGTAAAACTTCAGCATGGGAAAGCCTGAGGAAATTCAAGGCTCTGGCCAGAAAATCCTCTTCTTTGCACAAAACAAACTTCTCCTTGTCCGAAATCAGGAGCGATAGACCTCTCTCCTGCAGGTACCGCTTTATAATATGGCTGTTCACACAATTTCCAATACCACTCTTGGAATGCTTCTGGGAAGCAAGCACTGAGACGATGGAAAGCTCCATACTAGGTAACTTAGAGGCCGCTTGACAGTTTTTAAGCGCCGCTAGAGTCACTGGGACTACTTCAGATGCACCAGAATCACTCGGTGGGGGGATAAACTAGATCTAAGTACAGGTACATCCTTAGAAAGGTTAAAGGATCTCTATTTCCTGACACGACTTTGTAGACCTCGGAAGAATGTATGTTAATCCAGCGTCATTACCATTCTGTGGCCGTATTACTGGCCGCATTTGCCGTATTTTTAGGCAGCATACGCTTTTTCTGCCAGTGTTGCCGCGACCAAACCTTAGAAGAGTGTTATGCAATGACAGGGATGCTTTTTCTGTGCCAAAGCGGTCTGGAGTGTATTCCATCCCATTGGAAAATACAACAGCTGGTACTCATACCCAGTATATTGGAGCGACATCCAGAATGTTGTCTTGCCGCATCTCCGAACACAAACAATCTATTAGTATGGGTAGGTGCGACACCGAGTTGACAAGATTGGTGTTGCAACATCAATACACTCTGATGTGGGACCAAGTGGGGATACTCAAACAGTGTGATAGCAGGAACCTCTTGTATATATGGGAGGCGCTATTTACCAGCATGCTAAATCCATGCAATACTCCCACGCTGGATGTGCCTTCCTTGTGGGTCAACTTATACAACAGGTTAAAACAACATCGCTAGCTCCGCATTCTCGCAAAATAATCTATTGCTCATGCGCGTTGGCATCAAGCGCGCATCTTTCAAACTTTCTGTTTTGTTCTATTTTGAGTTTATTTCAATGCTGGTTTGCCGTTGCTGTAATTTGAATTTGAAGGTTATTAACTGTTCTATCAACCTGAAGAAGACGAAAATAGTTTCGTTGAAAGCGCTAGTTGTTTGTAGCGATAGCTGTAGGTCGTTAACGCCTAGATGATAATTTTTTCAACTTTACTTATCCAAGATTCCGCGTGAAGTCCAATATTATTTTTTCACTTTTAATATATTTGCAAAACACGATTTCAAAAACAACATAAATAATTTTAAATAATAAACCTCAAGTTCTTTTGAATATGAAATTCATCATAAAATGGTGGAATCTAAATTATTTGGCTTTTTGGGGGCAAAACAGATAGATTCCTGCAGTCTTAAGTTTTGGGGAGTCCAGATAGGTCCTACAGCCTTGGGTTTATGGAATGGCCTGAAAGGTAGGCTGACCATATGTACCATTTTTTGCTCTGTCCTGGCTGTCCTATTGTTTTAGTGAAATTTTCACTTTTGCCCATTCTTTGAAAATCAAAACAATTAGCTCTCTATTTTGTCTGTCAAACACATTTGTGTACTGTATTCTGAACTTGTGATTTGTTATAAAATATTTATTCTGAATTGATAAGGGTCATAAATTTGAATGGATACTGCTGAAGATAATAAAGTCAAATGATTGCTGGTTTAAATAGGACTGCTTTTGCCATTACTATTAAAAATTAAATACAGTGGTGTTTCGTATAACGTACGCCTCGAATAACGGACGCTGCAAACAACGGACTTTCTGTTTCGCCGTTACATGACTCGAGCAACGGACTGGCTGCGAACAACAGACTTTCCATTTGGCAGTTATGTGAGACAAACACCATTTCTGCAAACATGTTGCAAATGATGTTTCTACTCTTTTTCCGTTGCCAATGACAATCTACTATTTTTAAAATATATTAGTATTATTAGAATATATTATTAGTATATCTGAAGTACAGAGCTCCCATTGAGATTCGGCTTGCTTCCTTGTTTATTACGTACATCACCTGAGTGCAGGGTATTTACATTTATTCAAGTGTTGTGCAAATCATGGCTTCTAAAAAACGGAAAAGTGATTTCAATTGAAACAAAGCAAGAAATCATCAGAAGGTGTGAAAGTTGACAAGAATTTCCTTTTCAAATGGGAAGAGGTTCAGGAGTTTATCAACACTCATTATTCAAACAGAGCTGAGGCCAACAGGAGCAATGATCTCTACAATGACACCCTTGCCCGTCATTTCCAACAGGTATTGAAGAAGAGAGAGAAACAGACCACCTTGGACATGCTTTTCAAAAAGCCAATTGCCAAAAAACAAAGGATGGAACAAGAAGAGTTGACTCTGCAATCCCCGGTAGCCGCTGCTGAATCTGACCCCGATTAAAAAACAATAAAAAGAGACCTGCTGCAATGTATAAAAAGTCTGTATCTGTATGAATGTGTGAAGAAAATGTTCCTCCACCTCCTTCTCACAACATCTGACTACAAGGCATAATTGGTGACTGCTCCATTTTCATTTTTTTTTTAATGGTACAGTATGGTTATTTTATGCTGTGGAATGAATTATATGTTTTAACATGTATTTCTATGGGAAAATGTGTTTTGTATAATGGACTTTTCACTTAATGGACGTGCACCTAGAACAGATTAAGTATGTTATACGAGGCACCACTGTAATTTGGAACTAGAAGAGGCACATAAGTACCTCCTCTAGTGCCTATAAATGTTAAAATGCTAGGTAATTATTAGTTTTCTAAGGTTATCTTTACTCTACATGCTGGCGTGCTGTTGTGGTCATACTGGACTTTATCAGTTTTTGGATGATGTTCTTTGAGCTTAGTGTTCAAATGATCCAATTGTTCATAGTAGAATTCTTTTGTGACAGTGATGTTGATTGAAAGTAACTTTATCATCCCAAACAAATGTAGATCATCACTTTCTTTTATACTGTCATTCCTTTGATATTTGCAACATCTGGTTGACCTTTGTTCACTCATGAATGCTTTAACAAATGCTTTGCAGATGAGATCATGAGTCTTTGTTGCATTGTGGCCACTTTTGAAGTTTTAGAGCAACAGCATGAAGATGTGTTCTTTTGAAAGTTTCGTGTTATCAGACATTGCATGTGTCAATTTCCAATGAAATATGTGGTAAAATACTCCCTTGGTTACTCTACTTATAGACAGACCCACATTGAACATTATAAAACATTTTTTTCCAGTCACATATAGAAAAAAATTGAAATGTCTAAATTTAACCTTTACAATCTAATGCAATTGTAATGTTTTGTATTCATTGAAAAGTTAATCTGTTGCTTGGATGAGGTGGTAAAGTTAATCTGTCACTCCAGTAACTAGAATTGAATCTTCCTTGGGAAATTTTTGTTGGTAGTATGTCCTGGATATTTCTAACCCTGCCCTAACTATCAGGTCAGTCCATAAGTTCATGCACATTTTTATCTACAAAAAAAGCAACGAAAAATTTTAATTAAATCTTATTTCAATCTATAATGTATTCACTATTATTTTGTACAATTTCTTGCCATCTTGATGGTAGCTTTTTAATCCCGTCTTTGTAAAATGATTTCGGTTTTGAATCAAAATATTCAGAAATAGCCTTTTTTACATTGTTCTCATCCTCAAAAGTTTTTCCTTTTAAAAAATTCTGCAAACTCCGAAAAAGATGATAATCACTGGGAGCAATATCTGGCAAATATGGTGGATGAGGTAAAATTTCCCAGTTGAAGCTTTTGAGTTG